CAAACACGTTTCAAATGTGTTTTTATTTTATTTTTGTGTATGTGTGTGTATATGTATGTATATATATAAATATAGCTTATGTTTCAAATATGAGTTAATTAACAATCGTTGGAAAGAATGATACTTTTAACATAACACTAAACCGTCATTAGGTGTCGCCAGGCGACCGTCTTAATGAGCGAGTCATTGATTCATTCGTTTGAACGACATATGCTGCGGCCCAATTCGCATACTATCCGTCCTAAATAGTATTCGAAAATAGAATTAGTACGTCCCAAATCGTAGTATGTTGAAATGAGTGTCCCAATGAGACCCGGATGGTCTACTATATCCGGTCAGAATCCGAAGTGCAGATCGATGCGCACTCTAACGGCTGATATTGCCCACAACCCATCGCGCGTTGGACGAGGGTTCGGTTAGAACTACAAACACGAATGAAAAGTGTTCAAAAACTACAGACATGGAGGACGCGCGAGTCCGACGGTTATGTAGAGAGGTTTAGATAAAGGGGTTTGAGTGATTAATTATCAGTATCTAACCTGACGAAAATGTATTTATTCAATGTTGTCCACATTATATTGCATCTGCAGCAGCATTGTGAACTTTTGCAAAGATACGTTTAGCCATTAACTTTTAAATGCATTATTATATTCAAATTCCAAACACATGAGGAGAGTCTCCGCATGAAAGACCCATGACTGGCAGATGAACGTGCGACAACAATTATCTCCGAAATGGTAAGAAGTTATATTAGATTGAATGGAGGATTTTAACTGTGACGAGATGATTGACAGGGCAGTTTACGGTGATATGATTCACGCGACAGATCTGTCCGTTAAAGATGACGAAGTAGTATGTCCCAAAGCTTGCCTACTCTTTTGCTACACACTCAAAAGTATGTATTTTTTCTTCACAAAAAGAGTACATACTTTTAGGGCGTAGTATAAGTAGGCGAATTGGGACGCAGCATGAGTCATTCATGAATGAGATAGATGTTTATGGATTGATTGGTCATTGAATCTTTGAGTCAACCGATTCGTTCAAAATGCTGAATCATTCAGTAATGAGAACGCGTTGCTGTGAGATGCGCGATGGTTCTGCTGTGATCTTTGTTTAACTATTTTCGCTGCTGAAACAGAAAAAAAGTCAATATTGCATGTAAAATGTAAGTGATTTGACTTGTGTGTGTGTGTGTGTGATTGTGTGTGTGATTGTGTCTGTTACAGTGATAAGAGTTTAACCCTTGTTAAACTTTAGGCCTTGTCTTTTTGGATATATATCTTTTTATATTAAAAAATAGTCATACAACCCATATATTTTAAATGTATTGTTTGCTTTAAATTACATTAAGATTGTATGTTTGGTAATTGAACCTGAATGAATTTTAAATGAATGTGCTATATTTCAGATCATATATTTGTTTTCCTTAAAATTTGAACTAACACTAACTTTATTCTCATCTGAATGATAGATTATTTATTTCTGTATAAAATAAAAACACATTTGATTTTTCTTTTTTAATCAATGTAGAATGTGTAACTGAAAAAATAAACAGATTAGGGCTCTGTTTGATGACAAGAAATGAAAACCAATGCGATATGATGAATGTCCAAAAGATGGCTCCCACAGACTGTTTTTAAATAGGATTGTTTGATATTTTTTGCTTTTAAACTGTGTGTGTGTGTGTGTGTGTAAGAGATTTTGGTTGGGTGACAGTTGTAGTTTACAGTTTGACAAGAGTTTATAGCTTGACAAAAGCACAATGTTGTGTTTTATTGCAAGTGTACACAAATATAAGTAAACACTTTGCAGTTTGAATAATGTCCTGTATGAACAAAAGGACGGAGTATGTTTTTATGTCTACATTGTTCAATTACGCCACACACACACACACACACACAAACACACACACACACACACACACACACACACACACACACACACACACACACACACACACACACACACACAAACACTATTTTTCTAATCAGATCAGGCAAGTAATATTCTGTCTTGTCTCTTAAAAAAACAATATATATATATTTATGTATATATATATATATATATATATATATGTGTGTGTGTGTGTGTGTGTGTGTTTGTGTGTGTATATATATAAATATAGCTGCGAGCAGCGATGAAAGGGCCAAAGCCGGCGGCACCGCCACCCCGGTTATAGCGCCACCAACTGGCAGCAGGAAGTCTGTCACTTTCAAAAAGCTTTGAAATCACCTGATTGCTTCAAACTTCACTACTATGATGTAAACACACGGCAGATGTAGACCTGGATGTAGACCTGACCTTTCAGAAGGTTGCTCTCGCATACTTTGTGGTTGATATGTGCCCTCAATGCACACTTTTGCAGAGCCCACACTGATACAAGCTCTACAGCACACTTCTTTTCGACAGTCAAAGCAGGGTTACGTTTTTGCACGTCGTGCACAATAACCCTAAAGGCACCAGGGTGGCGGTGCCACCGGCTTTATATATATATATATATATATATATATATATATATATATATATATATATATATATATATATAAATATAGCTGCGAGCAGCGATGAAGGGCCAAAGCCGGTGGTACCGCCACCCCGGTGCCTTTAGGTAACTAAAGGCACCGGGGTTGCGGTGCCACCGGCTTGGGCCCGTAATCGCTGCTCGCAGCTATATTTATTATTATTCTTATTATTTTTCTGCTACCTTTTGGACACTTTTGGAGGCCTTAACATGCTCAAAAACTATTGAAACTTTGCACACATGTCAGAACCCGCGGCCATCAGGGCCGGGCTGAAGCTGGTACCCGGGCGTGGCAGGGGGGCTCAACAGCGCCCCCTTGAACGGGGTCCAACAATTTGGTCCATATATCCAACACGCTTGCATGAATTAATATGAAACTTAGTACACATATAGATCTCATCGGGCCGAACATCTTTCCCCTGGTCAAGTTTTACGCCAGCCCAACAGGAAATCGGCTATTATGGGTTGTTTGGAAAACGCTTGCTGTGGAATTTGAAGTACTACTCCTAGGCAATTCATTCAATCATTGCCAAACTCGGTGTGCATGAAGTCAAGACATTAAGGATGCTAAATTGTGGACAGATTTTTGATATCTCGAACGGTTTGGCCACGGAGAGGAAATTAATTTTCATGACTAAAAAAGGACATATAAAGTGTGTTATAACTTAGTTAGTTTTACCTACAGTTACAAAACTCAGCGTGTATATTCTTCTCCTCAAGCCGAACAACTTTCTAATTTAAAGTAATTAGCTCCGACCCTCAGAAAGTCAGATATTGTGGTTTGAATATGGTCATTTTCTCTCTCTCTCTCTGAGCCAATATAGCAAGCCGCTTTAACATTTAATCATTTTAACCTACTAGTCTCTATTTTCATGCTACTAGTACTTATTTTTTAGATACTAGTATCTATTCCATTAAGTACTAGTACTTATTCATTTGGGACTAGTGCTTATTCTTTAGTACTAGTGCCTATTCTTTAGATACTAGTGCTTATTCTTTAGATATTCTTTTGAATACGTATTAGTAGCTAATGAATAAGTACTGGTATCTATTTAATATGTACTAGTATCTAATGACTTAGTACTAGTATTTATTGAATAAATACTAGTATCTATTAATAGGTACTAGTATCTAAAAGGTCATTTTCTCTCTCTCTCTCTCTCTCTCTGAGCCAATATGGCAAGCCGTTTTAACATTTAATCATTTTAACCTACTAGTCTCTATTTTCATGCTACTAGTACTTATTTTTTAGATACTAGTATCTATTCCATTAAGTACTAGTACTTATTCATTAGCGACTAGTGCTTATTCTGTTTAGAATATTCAAAGTGCTTATTCAATTTTTATGCTTATTTATATTTTCAGAGCAGAAAATCCGATTTTTCTGCTTATTCAATATTGCATCTAAAATGTAAGTGACTTGACGTGTGTGTGTGTGTGTGTGTGTGTGTGTGTGTGTGTGTGTGTGTGTGTGTGTGTGTGTGTGTGTGAGAGAGAGAGAGAGAGAGAGAGAGAGAGAGAGAGAGAGAGAGAGAGAGAGAGAGAGAGAGAGAGAGAGAGAGAGAGAGAGAGAGAGAGAGAGAGATTGCGTCTGTTACAGTGACAAGAGTTTAACCCTTTAAGGCCTTGTCTTTTTGGATATATATCTTTTTTTTATATAAAAAAAAGTGCATACAACCCATATATTTTAAATGTATTGTTTGCTTTAAATTAAATTAAGATTGTATGTTTGGTAATTGAACCTAAATACATTTAAAATTAATGTGCTATATTTCAGATCAATATATTTGTTTTCCTTCATTTTAATCAACACTAACTTTATTCTCATCTGAATTATAAATAACTTATTTCTGTATAAAATAAAAAATCCAGAATAATCCAGACCAACCAGAGCGCACTATTTCTACAACATCATCAGTGCTGAAGCGGAACTACCAGAGCCGTTCGGCAGATAGCGAGCAGATATTTTGTGTCACGTCGTGCACAATAACCCTAAAGGCACCAGGGTGGCGGTGCCACCGGCTTTTTATATATATATATATATATATATATATATAAATATAGCTGCGAGCAGCGATGAAGGGCCAAAGCCGGCGGCACCGCCACCCCGGTGCCTTTAGGTAACTAAAGGCACCGGGGTTGCGGTGCCACCGGCTTGGGCCCGTAATCGCTGCTCGCAGCTATATTTTTAAATTGTAATCATATTTCACAATATTCCTGTTTTTACTGTATTTTTGATTAAATAAAAGCAGCCTTGGTGAACATAGGAGACTTCTTTCAAAAACATATATATTTTGTAATGTTTTCAAACTTTTGACAAGTACTGTAGTTTTAGTGAAGTAACATGTCACACCACAGAACATGGAACCTTTCCAAACGTATTTCATGTCAATAACCCATATGTTTAGGCTTCTTTGCAGAACTGTTTGGCTTCCATTAGTACATAATTTGTGTATGAGTCAAACAAATGCACACATACCTCTTGTTCTCTTTCACTGGTGTTCTCAAAGTTTAGATCCGGTCTGAAGAAAGAGTTCGTACTAGGGTATTGCACTCTGGCTAGCTTCTCTGGTAAAGGAAAGTGGGTTAGTTAAAGAATTAATTCACCTATAAATGAAAACAATTTGTTCCAAATTTTTCACGAATATCCTGGTTGCTCGTTCCAATAGCCATAAGTGAATGAGGACTGGGCCTGTCAAGCTCCAAAATGACAAAACAAGCACCATAAAAATATCATAAAAGTATTTATCGTGCAACATATTCCAAGCCTTTTGAAGCCTGTCATTGAAATTTAAGTCATTCTTTTTCCTTCCCATTGGAATGATCATGAATGAATGAATCTTTCTTTAAATTAAGTATTCAGTATACAAGTGCAAATGAAGTATTACAAAATAGTTCTGAATGACAAATCGGACTAATCCAGTTCTTGAATTCAATGAAAGTCAATGACCAATGCCCACTGGGGGGAAGATTATTAGTGAATAACAATTTAAATGGCTATTGTAACTGTCATTGGAGTCACTTGTCAGTTCCCTTTTGAAGTGGAACAACATTAGCGGATCGTCTGGAAGTATAAGTGATACACAACATCAGCTTTTTTGTCTTCAGGAGCCGTTTGTTTAGCTAGCACGTAGTGGAGGCGAATCTATAATGGAGAATTCGAGCAAGCATTTCAGGAAGTGTGTGCCTCCGTGTCCCATGTTTCTGACACCTGAGGATACACACAACCTGTGCATTCAAAGCTTGGGCGAGGAGCACGTGTGTTCAGTGCTTGAGGTCTCTGGATGTGCCCATTGTGAGAAGTTTATATTGTGGAAGCTCCATTCATTCTAGAGGGATGTAGGACAGGCGTCTACACCTCATGGCTCATGCCCCGCTGTTGGCGAAGCACAGAGGAGGCTTAAGTTGTGGGGTTGAGCTGGCTGAGGAATTCGAGAGAGGTATGGCTCTTTAGCGCTCCTCAGTCGTAGGTTCGAGCGATCTGCTCGATCATGATGTGATCCAGCAGATAGCAGATAACAAGATAGTAAAATGTACTGAATTCTCTCAGCCTGCCGGCCCCACATACTGTTGGTTGTCATGACACACACCACAACCAGATTGGATCTGGCTCGTGGGCTTGAGAAACAGGAAGTCGCTTGTGGCAGGCTGGACGAGCGCATCCTGTCAGGCCATAATTGCCCTTCACCCATTAGCCTTCCGACTGGAGTGGGTGTGATTAGAGAGGAGGGGCACTGAAGCAAGGAGAATTGGCGGCGCGTGATGAGGCACACCTAAAAGTAATGAAGCCTCATCACCGCTGCTGTTAAATGCTGAGCGCACCTCTATTCGAGAGACCGGCCTCTTTTCCCGTGCATGCACAGTGGTGTTCTCGTGGGTCCAGCAAAGGAGCGCGGAGGGACTCCACGCTGCCATAGACATGAGTCGCCGGACCCAAGGGAGTAAGGGAGAAGCATGCGAAGCGCTGCTGACAGGCTAGGATGCCGGGCCGCTATTCCCCTTAGTTGTCGTGGCCTAAAGAGGACGACCCGCTGTGCCGAAGCCACCCATCCTATCTGATCACTATCCATCCTTCACGATTCCCCAGCACGATGAGGACACCAGATCCCCTTTTTATTTGAACACTTTATTTCCCCCTTTTTGGACATTTTATGTTTGTTTATTCAGGAAGTACATCCCATACCCGGCTAAAGCCTCTGGGGAGGCAAGATCCGAGGGAGAGTGTAACCACTCGTGCGTGCTCTTCCTCCTTCAAGGAGTAGAGCACAGAGGACAAGGAGCGCTAAAAAGAAGAGGAAAGACCTGAAGGAGTTAATTAATAAAAAGCGGATTGTTAAAACACAAGAACGAACTGCTGAGGAGAATTAACATCTCTTCTCCTCCTTCCTCCCCCACATATTATTTAGTGTAGAGCAGAATAATAGAAGTGTAAAAGAAAATCTGCTTCATCGTTTCCCTCCCCAGCTATGACGGTCGTGGAGTAGGACTCCTCCCCTCTGGTAGCATATTATTATTTCCTCTCAGAGTTGAGTGAACTGAACTAAATTATTGGGCAATTGCATCCCCTGTTTAGTTAACCCTCTCTAACGATAGCAACAATAGTTTAGGTAAATATGATTAGGCACTATATTCCTTCTAGTTAGTTTGCTTCCCCTCCATAACTACCGTTGGGTTTTTAAGTAGGGGCATTCATTTACCCCAGGGAAGGGAGTCATCAGATACCTGTTTAACTATTACCTGGGTTGACAATGCTACGAGTCGAGGAAGTTCTCCTAGTCTCTCCTTGATATCTGTCACTTACTACGGCAAGCGAAAAAAAAAAAAAAAAACCTAGTCACCGCCTTTAGCAGAATGCAAGCAGGGTGTGAGCGCTACCCCTTTGTTGATATAGGATAATTCAGTAGAGCTGCAGCACCCCTGTGGTTGGTTTCCCAGTGATAGTGGTAATGGCCAAGTTCGACAGTGACATATTTCTCCCTGTGGCAATTATTCCCTAAGAGCTGTTTTAAGGCTAAGAGGCTGTCACAGCCAGGGGCGTCATGCAAGCCAAAATTCTGGGGGGGCACAATCTGAGACGTTGCAATTGTTTTCTGACGGGTGATATGGATCATGTTAGGGGGGGTCAGGGGGTTTCTCCCCCTGAAAATTTTTAAATTATGGCTGCTAAACATACCATTTCAATGCAGTTTGGGAGGGACAGAAATACCTTAACGAAGCTAGCTAGCAGCAACCCTCCTCTATCTGAGGACTAAGTTAAAGTATCTATTTTGTAAGACAGGTTGATGAAAGAACTGTAAGCTCAAATTCAAAAGCTTTTAAAGTCTACTTCATTAAAGCATGTTTACACACACACTTACTGTACACTTAGGCCTACTACACATGATTTTAAAAACAGTACCATTGCAGTTTTTATGTTATGATTTTAAATTGGTATGTGACCTAAGAACGATCTTACATTAAAGGTATGATAAAGGTGCTGAGGTCTGACTTTGTGGTGCTCTGAAATTAAGTTATTTTAATATTAATGTGATGAAGGACTTTGAAAGAAGTTTGACAGATTTCAGTGCTGAATAAGGTTAACACTACCCCGTTTATTTGAATCAGATAACGTTACTATGGCTTATTGGCTTTGAATGGCAGGCAGTAACGTTAGCCAACTAGTTTACGGTTAGACTAGGCTAGCTATCGATAACGTTACACTGACACAACTTAAGTTAATGCTCTGAATTCGCAGCTAATATCAAATGCATAACTTTTTGATCAAGTTAAAATTTCCAGGTCAACCACAAATAATCCCACTACCTTTTAATATCATCCGATAACTAATTCAATGCCGATTTGTTGCTTTGCCCACTTACCACTTCAAGACCATCTGTAAAACATTGCCAGCTCAACGTGCGAGACGAGTGAGTTGCTTGAACATACACAGCAAAGATTCTAGAGCGCAACGCGCGTAGCGCTTTTTGATATACACAGACACCATATTAGGAAAAAGGGGCGGGCTGATGCTGACCGATTTATTAAATTATTACACATCCAGAAGAATACATTTGAGTCGTTGTAGGCTCTGGTAATTATGGAGCATAATAGGAATAAAGTTGTGACAAAAAAATTATCAGGGAGGAAAAATCTCAAGGTTTTCCCTTGCTATAAAGGCATAGAACCTGGAATATCGTGTACATCAGACGGTCCATGTACATCTTTTTATGGGCGCACCCTGGATTGGCTCCAGCTTCATTGACTCCATTGAATCTGATGAGTGAGTCAATGTATGCTATGCCCTCTATGATTGTGCATATTCTCCCCCAGTGAGACAGGCATCCCTGTGGCATGGCGGAGTGGGTATTTGTTCCCCATAGCGTCGATCCAAGACGCAGTGTTGAGTTCCACTTCGAAAGGGAACATCTCAGGTTATGACTGTAACAATGGTTCCTTTGCGTAATGGCTGCTGGTATTTGGAATTCCATTACAAAACACTGTGTCAGTAATAGTCTATTATATCGTAATATTCGGCCCACGCTAAATTGGAATGATGAGCATCAGTCTGGTGCAGTTGAGTTCAGGAGGAAAACACTGATGCGAAAAAAAAGAGTAGATAAAAAGGGAAGGCCTGAAAGACAACCAAACAAGATGAAGATACAAAGATAGAGCAGACAGCAAATGTTACTCCACCACCAACAATAGGGGAAAAGATGCACATACAGGAGCCTGAATGCAGCAGCAAAATAAATGTTACTAGGTCCCCATCCCGGGATCGATGCCGGACTCAATCCCGGGATGTGTTTGCGTTCACACAGAAGGCACTCTGGCATTTTTATAGCAATTTTCTGGGATCAACGCGTTGTGTGAAAGGGGCTTAAAGGGATACTCCACTTTTTTTTGGAAATAGGCTCATTTTACAACTCCCCCAGAGTTAAACTGTTGAGTTTTACCGTTTTTGAATCCATTCAGCCGATCTCCGGTTCTGGCGGTACCACTTTTAGCATAGCTTAGCATACATCATTGAAGTGGACAAGACCATTAGCATTTCTCAAAAAAAAAAATGACCAAAGAGTTTCGATATTTTTCCTATTTAAAACTTGACTCTTCTGTAGTTACATCGTGCACTAAGACCGACGGAAAATGTAAAGTTGGGATTTTCTAGGCTGATATGGCTAGGAACTATACTCTCATTCCTGCGTAATAATCAAGAAACTTTACTGCCGTACCATGAGTGCAGCAGGCGCAATGATATGACAAACTTAGTCCCGGTCACGTTGGAAGTTACCGAGCTGGGGACTATTTTCAGGCGCTGCGTCATATCATTACACCTGCTGCACTCATGGTACGGCAGTAAAGCTTCTTGATTATTACGCAGGAATGAGAGTATAGTTTTTTGAGAAATGCTAATGGTCTTGTCCACTTCAATGATGTATGCTAAGCTATGCTAAAAGTGGGTACCGCCAGAACCGGAGATCGGCTGAATGGATTCAAAAACGGTAAAACTCAACAGTTTAACTCTGGGGTAGTTGTAAAATGAGCCTATTTCCAAAAAAAGTGGAGTATCCCTTTAAGGCAAAAATAACCTAGAGGATGGTCTCCCTCTCAATGTTTGAGCATCAAGAAAATATACAGGTGGTGGATGAAAGAGACTAAAAGACAAGAAAAGAACAAGACTGAGCTTCAAGAAAATAAAAAGGCGGTGAGAGAGACAAGGAAAACAATATCAAATAAAGATTAATTGTTCATGTCAAGATCAAATGTCCTGCTGTGGTTTTACAGTGAAAAACAAGGACAATGAAAACCTTTTCTGAAATATGCCTGATCTAAAAAACAAAATCACAATCTCAATAAAATGAATTGCTAAAAGCAATAATCATAAACAACTGAAAATTGGTCTGTGCAGCATAGGTCACTGCACATGATGAAAGCATGTACATTTATTTCATAATTACATTTCATATAATTTCGTTTTGGAATTTGCACCATGTTTTTGTAAACAACAGGTAAATCAACATATTTTGAATCTCAAATTTTGTGGTAAAATGTTTGTCAAAAAAAGCTATTATATGGTTTCAGTAGACTTTGTATACAGCCCACATATAAGCTACTTTTTAACTTTTAAGCTACAGTCCTAATTTATTGTAAAAAAAGAAAATTAGGAAAAAAGCTACCAGCACTTCAGTCCAAATTTTCACCTTTGAGTGAGTAAATGAATGAGTTTAAATGAATTAAATTTTTTTGGCTTAATTATCCTTTTAAAGTGTGGACATGGATGAAGGAAAAATCACCAGTAGGTGTCACTGATGATTGTGTATTTTTGTGCAGCTGTCTATAACTCTTGTCTCACCAGCACGATTAGAGCAGGCCCTTGAGTAGAAGGTGCACTTCCTCATCATGATCTCCTGGGAAATGATGGCGAAACTGTACACATCTCCTTTCTGGGAGATCCCCTGCTTCCTCAGGTGTTCAGGAGCCGTCCACAGATCTGAGAGAAGTGGAAACACAAAGAGGTAAACATTAACGTAAGCAAATGGTTAACCAAATACTACCTTTTAATATAAGCGTAGAAGTGTAGAAATAACTGAACTTCTTTGTCAAGATAATAATAATAATAATATACCACCCTTTCACCTTTACTGGGACTGAGAATTGTATTGAAGCCAAAGTCTGCAATCTTCACAACCATACGGTTGTCAACCACACAGTTAGTGGATTTAAGACGTCCATGGACTGCAATGTTGCTTGTGTGGAGATAAGACATGCCCTAAAAAAAAAAGTTCAAAAAGTTCATCCGAGAATCTGTGTTAGTATAGGACATTTACATAACTATTAATGACATTCAGTATAGCACGTCTAGCTGGAATAGATGTTAAACGATCCATTGAGATGCTGCTATATGCAAAGAATTAAATAATAATTTAGAATTTAAGAAAATACTCTAAATGTACTGTAGGTAATCATTACCTTTGCAATGTCATACATGACAGAGATCTTAAACTGCCAGTCCATGAATGTTTCTTCTGGGTATGAAATCTTATCATTAAGCACATGCTAAAAAAAAAAAAAATCCATATTTTAGTATTCATTTACAATATTCGATTTTTTATTTTTTATTACGTCATAGTACGAGGCTCATTATAATACTCACTTTAAGGGATCCTCTTTCTCCATATTCAAACACGCCAAAATACTCATTGACAAATTTGACTGTCCCATAGAATTTGGTAAGATTGTAATAATCAATGTTCAAGAGCTGAAATGAAAGGGGCATTATGATATCTATTGTGAACAACACAAAGTTACTCAGGTTTTCTCTTAAAATGATTCAGTGTTTTGTTATTCAGTGAAGAAATGAAATCCTGCTACCGCATTGAGCTCTATCCTCTGTTTTTCAGTGAAGCTTCCATCTGTGAGCCTTAGCTCCTTAAGGATAACAACCTATAAAGAAAAATAATCCATTAATTAAAAAATTCTCAGAAAAAAGTAATCATTTTGGATAAAACTGAGTATTTACTGTACCTTTTTATCATAGCGTGCACGGCGTAGGATGTAGCTGCTATTTTGTGTAGAGTCTTCCTCAATCTGATTAGACAATGAAATATTCATGCAGTAAAAAATAGTAAACTTAAACATTTTTAAAAACATTATTATAAAGGTTAATTAAAGACTTTGATGCCAATGCATTACCTTCAGACAGATCATATTCCACTCATTCAACTCTAAAGGGGAAATGAGCTCTGAGGAAATGTGAGACCATTTTTTCCGCATATGATGGTAATTTCTATTTTGCCTTTAAAATATGTACAGAAACAACTGTAAATATCTTGGTACATACAATTTTATACACAATGTGCATATAAGATATGTACTGGTAAAACCAGTAGCATTACAAAAAGTGGCATTACAAAGGGACATATAATAATAGTGAAAAAAAACAATGTATTGCTCTTACCAGTAAAAGATGAAGGCAAGTGTACCCATGACACCCACAACAGCAGTGCACAAAACTATGACAATGGTGTTGACTTGAATGCCTATATAAATAAATAAATATTGGTTTCATTTAAATCATAAATAAAATTACATATACTACATACATAATACATTTTTACATTATTACACAATAAACAGCAAAATATGCTTGATGCTAAAAAAAAACAGTGAAATTTATGGTTTAAAAAAAACAGCAGTTGTTGTTGCCAGAACTTTACCGTTAAAATGGTAGTAATATTTTAGGATTTACACATTGAACTTAAATTTCCAGTAAAAACCATATGTTTCATTAATTTAAATAATGTTTATATACCAAGTTACTAAAATCTGTGTTTTACCTTTATAATATTACTAACAAACAATATATCGTGTCACAACATATCGCAATATAAAAATATAACAATGGATAGTGACAATATATATCGTGGATAGTGCACCCAAAACAAAAATTACGGTGTGAGAAAAAATTCAAGCTTTCAGAGTTTTAATGTCAGTACTACATTAAACTATAATATTGAATATAATGTATAATAATGCCAAATGTCTTATGGTACCAGTAAAAAGTGGCCAACATTATTTTAAATATATCTGTTCAGTGACAGAGTATATTCGTCTAAAATAATTCTGTAATTCAGAATCATGCATTCATGGATTTCTTTTTGTGATTTTCACAACTTTTTGTGAGTTGTGCCTCAGCACGGCCCAGCACGGATGAATCCAATGTTTTGAGGAGAATGTGCGGCTGTCAGTCACCGCGCCGGTGTGGATACTGTCATTCGGAATCACAGATTATACTTTTTGGAAGTATGACCAACATAAGAATTTCCACCCTAAATTGTCATCTGAACAAGTAACTAACATCCACTTTTGTTCTGACCAACTAAGGGAAAAAATGCATTCCAGTAAATTGCACTGATTAAATCTAACGATCGCTATCACATCACGTCAAACCGTGCAAATTATACTTTGTTGTCAAATTGTTAATGTTAACAACATCAGCATTGCGTGACTACATTTAATGCCCTTCCGATATCTTTGTTTTCGCATGGACCCGGTAGCAGTCTCTTTTTCCAAACTCTCAGTCCGAAGTCTTTTGCATTTTACAGCGGGTGAATCTGTTGTCACTTAGCCTGAATGCCAGCCCGAACCCCGCCCACAACATTTTTTGGTCGGGAAGTTCGGTCTGGACTCGCTCCATTGAGGAGTAATTATGATCAGTCAAAAAATGTTCGGGCCAATCAAATTGCCAGGGCGGGCTTTATACGATGATGGACAGATGATCTGCAGGGCCGTAATCATCACGTTATCAAAGAGCGCTTAACTGGTTTCCCTCAGAGATGACTGCAGCTGGAGAACTGAGATGTATAGATTCCGCTATCGCGTCTGTTGTATAAGAAATCGACAGCGCATTCATTTTAATAGACGAACAGAGAACTGCAATCAAGGCATTTGTCGATCAGAAAGATGTGTTTGCCGTCCTTCCTACGGGATTCGGCAAAAATTTAATTTATCAGCTGGCTCCGATGGTCACTAAGAAGATGGGACGCAATGAAAACCCTGTGGTCGTTGTGGTTTCTCCTTTGGTCGCACTCATGGAGGACCAAGTAAAAGAAGCAACACTTGTTATTTTACTACTTCCAGCGTGCATGCATTTGAGTTCTGTAGTTGACAACTGTGCTATGCAAAGTAGTTGACTTACTGCGTTGCTCTGATTGGTTGTAGGTCTATCCAATTGAGTGCAGAGTTTTTTTTTTCCTGGTTCGGTTAAGACACCCCTAATAATCAAAGCCCTATGGAGCAGTATCAGACTCACATTCTGACTAGAATATGAGTATGACGAAGTCAGGCTAGTTGTCACTGGTGATTGTCGTTTGAACCTTTCTGGATCCGCCATCAAATTAATAAGTTTAAATTATATCAAGTGCTGTGAGAAAAGGCTATAAATCTCCACCTCCAACATCCTCACACGCAATATAGCCTACTAGCCGAGACACCTTCTTTATGTGTACAGATGTGACGTAATGACGCAAAGACATGCTCGAATTTCCCGCGGAAATCCACCAGTACCACTGGAGTTAAAAACATTATTACAAGCTTACCGTTTTGAATCGAGCTAAGGCAAGCAGATAGTTTTGAACACTGGCTGGTTATGTACTTGCTCGAAAATTTATGTTGGATAATTTTTAACCCAAAAAAGTCACGGACTGCAGCTGATGGGTATCCCTCGCTAATCATCCACCCTCCTTATCCCGTTGTGCCACTTGTGCCGCTTCTTGACATGGGTTTACCGATTTCTAAAAATTATGTAATACACTTTTATATTAATGGTAAGGTACTTTACAATCAGAATTGATTGGCAAGCAGCTGCAGTTACTTCTGTTTAATGCGGTATTGATTGCCATTGGTTAAAGGCTTAAGGGCTTAAAGCAAAATTCTGCCGCGTTAGCCTGTGTTAGCTAAGTGTATTGAATAATTTTTAAATCGTCGTTAAAGTCGTTAAACCCATGTCAAGAAGCGGCACAAGTGGCACAACGGGATAAGGAGGGTGGATGATTAGCGAGGGATATCCGGTTCGTCTACCCGTCACAACATATCGTGTGAACATATTACTGACAATTTGATAATTTAATTAATAGTCTATATTTTACTGATAACTTAAACTATGTTAAAATAAACTGGAATAATTTGAGGAATGTTTCATTTGCATAGAACCTGTTGTCTCTCTTAACGCCGTAATGCACCTTCGCGTGAAGTGGAAAATCGATTCCTGAGCAATCGATGCCAACTAATTCAGCACTTTCACTTGGGACAGCGCCTTTGTAACGTCGAACATAAGAGGCAGCGTGTTAAGAAGCCTCTTAAGGGACACTTCGGGTAACATAAACAACTTTGGTAAGATATATCTTTCGAGTCTTCTTAGCGCGCTAAGAGTGAGCGTTATCGGGGAACCGGGCCCTGGACTGGATTCCCCGATAGCGTTGTCTGTCTTAGCGCGCTACGAAGACCCTTAAAGGGTTAGTTCACCCAAAAATGAAAATTATGTCATTAATGACTCACCCTCATGTCGTTCCAAGCCCGTAAGACCTCCGTTCATCTTCAGAACACAGTTTAAGACATTTTAGATTTATTCCGAGAGTTTTCTGTCCCTCCATTGAAAATGTATGTACGGTATACTGTCCTTGTCCAGAAAGGAAATAGAGACTAGGGCTGGGGCGGTATGGATTTTTTCTAACCGCGGTTGAAAAGCAAGATATTCCCGCGGTATAGCGGTAAACCGCTTTAAACAGCCAACCCCCCCCCCCCGAAATATTTTCACCTACATCCAAAAAAAACGAGCACAATTTGAAAGAGTCCAATTTTCATTAAGCTGTAATTTGGCATGAACCAATCACTGAATAGATTTCCTTATTTAAGAATATTCTCAGATACATTCGCACTGAATTCATCATTTTCAGGAGAATACATTATGATGTTGAACGAAATGAAAGATGAACACCTTTTCCAACATGTCTTAATTACAAAAATTATATTCCATATTTATGTTAACATAATATAATGTTATTTTTTATTTAATCTATGTCGATTGTATGAAAAGTGAACACCATGAGTAAGATAGGATCATAAGATGGGTCAGACATGATTTTGACCACTTTATTAAAGGAGCTGTATGTAAGAAATTTATTTGAATTAATCATAAAATGGCCCTGATATGTCACTAGACATTGAGAAATCATGTTCATTTCAAATACTTATATCACTGACAGTAGTCCGGCCAGGATATTGTCATTTAAAAAGTGAAGTTGCAGCCCTCAACTGATGTTGATGTTGTCATGTTGTGTTTTGGTCTGATGCTCCACCCTCCACCCATCGACCATTCACGAAGTCAGTAGTGTTGCGCCATCTGGGTTGCCAGCTCTGCTCTAGTTACCACAGCTGCAGCTACACACGTGTCGGATAAAAAAATGCAGCCGATCTGGCAACCTCGAGTCAGGGGGGAGGGGGAGGGGATACACCGCTCTACAGTAATTTGAAAGTGATTGCAGTACCGGTTTTGGCCACAATCTTACATACAGCTCCTTTAAGTTTTGTTTTGTAGAAAGCCTTTCTTCAAATTAAATTTCGTTTTGTATAAATTGTATCTTAATTTTAATCACTGTTTCATTAACTAATTGCCTGGAATTATACAAATATAGCAGACATATAATCAGGACGATGTGTGGAAGCAACGGTGCGATCTCTTGCGCGTGAACTGGAGCTCGTCTCATATAAATGAACCGAAACTCGTGCGCCCATCGGAGACGGAGTTCACTGCTGATATTCTGAGGATACAACATAGCCAATAGGCTATACTAGGGACTTTAGCCTTTAAAAATCTTTGCTGCATGCGCAGTCTCCTTTCTAGAACAGCCAAGAGCTTTCTAGCCTCGCGGCAGCAGCGCCTTGCGTCGCTCATGGACCTTAAAACTGATAAAAAAATTCAAAAAACGAAAATTGATCAAAAAACGTTGGTGCGGATGGATGGCGGACAGATGATAATTTTTGTGCTGCGGTTCCGTTGCGGATGAAATAATAATAATAATAATAATAGCCCATCCGCGCATCTCTAATAGAATGTAGGCCTAATGCTATGTGTCATGGAACATTGCGCTCCCCAACTCGCGAAAGGGATTTGCTCCATCTTTTAATAAGTTTTGTTTAGATAACCTTGAATCCATGTAAGACACACTATCATTAGAAATAATCCATGTCATTAGAATCAATGAATCCATAGCATTAGACACAACGAGCACACATGTGCAGGCCAATTTTTTTTTTTTTTTTTTTTGCGGTGATGACGGTGACGAGCTCAGACCCGCGGTTGGAGTCACGTGACCGCGGTATTGCGATAATGCGGTAACCGTCCCAGCCCTAATAGAGACATCATCAAAGTAGTCCATGTGACACCAGTGGCTTAGTTAGAATGTTTTGAAGCATCGAAAATACATTTTGGTCCAAAAATAACAAAAACTACAACTTTATTCAGCATTGTATTCTCTTCCGGTTCTGTTGTCAATCCGCGTTCACGAGTCCGCAGTGACGCTGATGACGTAAGACGCTGCTGACGTGTATCTGGTGCGTCCGTGTATTGGGTTCAAACAAAGTCCTTTTAGGCAAGTCATGCCACTCGGCCGCCATCTTGGCAACGCCTCCGGGCAGTTATTTCGGACTAACAAGGCCAGGCTCCTATCTAAATGAATGGGCAGAGAGTCAGAACTGCAGTTTCACTGGTCACCGGGACATAAAAACTGCATGCATAGAAACAGCAGTAAATTATGATAAAAATCGCTGAAAAGTTTGATGACTTTGCCCCAAAATAAGGTTTAAAACGCCTTTTTCCCCACAGGTTATACTTTTACTACGCATGCGCAAGGGTTCTCTCCCTCGGTCGTGCGCGCGCTACACAGTTTGAAGCAAAGTATGTGCAAGCTCTTGCTCGCTCGCTCTAGATTCCGGGAGATTTGAACTAATTTGCGGGCATCAGGGAGCCGCTATCAATCTGCGGGAGACTTCTGATGTCTGATATTACACAACTCACACATACACTGCATATCAAATCTGCCGCCTTTTCAAACAGAAACGTATTTTGCGCTGTCGCAAACCTCAACTGTGCGCATGCGTCAGTGGAACCAGACAATAGCCTTAAATGTTTCCCGGCTTGACTGTTAAAAGCAGACGATTGGCTTTCCAGCGGGAGGGGCGGGACATGTGCATACATCTTTGGCGTTACGGGTTTTCCCTATATAGTTGTATTAAGGATTGATGAAGTGGCATGTCTCTATAAATAGTCTCTGGTTCAAATAAATATGGCTGGGCAAAAAAATGCAAGTCTTCCTCTGTATCGAAATCCTTAGACATGTTTGCGAAGATTGTTTTGTTTACAGCGTGCGTCTCCCTCAGACTGTAAACGAAGCTCGGGCGCACCAGATACACGTCAGCAGCGTCACTGAACGCGGATTGACAACAGAACCGGAAGAGAATACAATGCTGAATAAAGTCTGAGTTTTTGTTATTTTTGGACCAAAATGTATTTTCGATGCTTCAAAACATTCTAACTAACCCACTGATGTCACATGGACTACTTTGATGATGTCTTTATTTCCTTTCTGGACAAGGACCGTATACCGTACATACATTTATAATGGAGGGACAGAAATCTCTCGGACTAAATCTAAAATATCTTAAACTGTGTTCCGAAGATGAACGGAGGTCTTACGGGCTTGGGACGACATGAGGGTGAGTCATTAATGACATAATTTTAATTTTTGGGTGAACTAACCCTTGGTATAGCATAATTTAACTAAAGGTATACCATTTCTAGGCGTGTTCCCCGAACCATACCTTAGGAAGTTGCTTATGATATACCTTCTTATGTGCGACGTTACCAGGTACTGTCTGAATTCTGAACCAGTGGTGCTGAATTGGTTGACATCGATGGCTTGAGAATCAATTATTCACGCAGGGGCTGCTTCACTGCGTTATGTGAGAAAGCGGTATTCTTTATAAAAGAACCACTTCAGAAATAGTTGAAATTGCATTTATTAGGACTCATGGGATATTATAAAAAATAATCCAAACTATCAGAACCTATAGCCAAGCCTGCATATTTTAAAATTGTATCATATATTGCTGCCACAATAACGGCCCATTTCAAATGCTTTCTTGTCTTTCCCATTTTTGTTCGCTGAGGTGAAGGTGTGATGAAATATTGTTCTTGTAAACACTTTCCAGCATTTCAGGCCCCGGGTACATCGTGCGTAGGTTACTGTGCTCGGCAGTGATCAAAAAGGATTTAAACAGTGACTTTTGAATCTCTTGTAAACTAGATGTGGATTCGGACGGCAATTAAATAGGCTACCACACGACCTTGGTGTTTGTCAAAAAACAGTAGGTAAATCTGTATACAATAAAAATCACCGACTAACCCCTGTAAATGTTGAAAATACCGTACGGTCCCATGAGAAACAATTACCGTCCGAATAGAGCTTAACTGGCAGCAGGCCTAGCCTATATGCTTTCACTGGCCGTTGAAAGCGCTCCGCGGACGGCGCCGTCTTTGATTTAGCACCGCTATTCCAATAGTTTGAGCAAACTCCCCACCGCAATCATTCCCTTTAAATAGACTATTAAGCCTTTACTGCATAATGGTTTTTCAGCTGATGTACCTTTGGATAATATAATTAAAAATCTAACAACAATCAGTGACAATTTTATTCTTTGCATGAAAACACTTGAATTAGCCTAATTGAACACTGTTGGTGTATTGCAACTTCAGAATTATATTCCTATAGACTGTCAACAGTGATAAGGTATAGTATAGTTAGGTATAACTTAAGAACGTTGTAGCGTTAAGAAGGTTTCGGGAAATCCAGGTTACGAAACTCGCATTAGCCTACTTGTAATGAGACACAAACACTGACACAAATATGTTACAAATACAAATGTATTAACAACATAAGTTGAACATTGAACCCTAATGTGGGCTATATAACTGACAAGAAAAAAAGATAAGAAGAAACATAGTTATGGTTTTTCACTGTAAATTAAGATTTCTTTTTTTACTTGCAAAAAGTGTGCATTTAACAGCATTTTACTGTAAAATCACATGAAATGACCCATTAGATCTATTACAGTTTTCCACCATATGGAGTAATGGAACTTCTTTTAACAAAATAAGAGGATTTTACCACAACATTTTTACAGTTGTTTTTTTTACCATTAAAATTACAATCACTTGATTTTTAAAAGTGATGGAATCCTCATACCTTTTGAATCTATTAATCGATGGTCTTCAGGAAGTCTGAGTTGAGCCCAAATGAAGGAAGGTTTGCTGTCTATTAGCTGTGTGTGGTTGGTGGAAGTGTTGAACTCATAAAGAATGTTGTACTAAAGTACAGAAGAGGTAAGTTTTAATGTCCAATAATCACTTTATAGTTTTCTAAAAAAAAATCCATTCTGTAAATAGAGTGATATATCTGAAATCTGTGGCATACCTCATTGTCATTGTTAGTGTAGATCAAAGAAAATATCAGATCCCTGTCACCATATTCATCCAGCTGATAATCTCCTGCTATGCCTGTGGTTTGGATTTTTCCAATCTTAATTATCTTGTGGATCTACGAAAGCAACTACAACATTATAAGACATGGCTGAAGGGTTTCACCTTTGAAAGAAACGTTTCTGAAGTAGTTCATGCTGACAGACTCTATATCCTGAATTTCTGAGAAGGCTGTGTTCCAGATGTTCCTCATCACCTGTCTGAACAGCAGCACCGCATCATGATATGCTGCAATATAATCATTCATCTGCACACAGAACAGTGAGGAGATGAGAGTTAGTACTTCTAGATCCAGAAGAGGAAGCATGTAAATGTGAACACTGTGCAATAACACACTACAAAATGACAAAACGGACAGATTTTTGAAGCTTTCTTTTATAGTATAACATTACATAAAATGTGAAATTTCATCATAACAAATAGAAATGATTGCATAAGTGCAATTGACAACCTAAATAATGAATAAAATAACAATAAACTATTTAAATATTTATTGTGTGAAAATGATCTATATCAGATTTTAAAAAGGTATGACTGTTTTACAGTTGTGGCAAACTTATGCAACAAGCATTCAAACACACTTGGGTTTGGTAAGATTTTTTAATCTTTTGAAAGTCTCTTATTCTCACCAGTGCTGTATTTCTTATATGAAACATACAGTAAAAATAGTAAAATATTATTACAGTTAAAAAAAACTGCTTTCTATTTTAATATATTTTAAAATGTAATTTATTCTTGTGATGCAAAATTGAATTTTATCATTTATCATTACTCCAGTCTTAAGTGTCACATGACCGTTCAGAAATTATTCTAATATGTTGATTTGGTGCTCAAAAAACATTTCTTATTATTATCAATGTTAAAGACAGTGGTGCTGCTTAATATTTTTGTGGAAACCGTGATACAATTTTTTTCCGGAATTCTTTGATGAATAGAAAGCTCAAAAGAACATTTATTTCAAATAGAAATCTTCTGTAATCACTTTTGATTTGTGCATTTTGTTTGAAAGTATTAATTTCTTTTCAAAAAAATCTTGACCCCAAACTTTTGACCGGTAGTGTATATAAAATATATATTTCTTGATTGATATTTATAAATGTGTATTTAATAGACATAAATGCAAGCTATGAATTAAATATAGCAAGAAAAAATGTCATTTCCAGAATGGTGATTAGAGAGTGCTGGAAATTACAATGGGTTTTGGCCTGTCAGGACAGAGATCAATAAAAACACGGTACCTACCGTGTTGTTACCAGAAGTGTCAATGGTGTATTGTCTTGTGTTGGGCATTGTTAACACCAGGACATTCTTCATAGCATCGTTAGATGACCCATTATAATATCTGTCGCTGTGAGAGAAAGTTAGTATTGTTTCTCACTTACAAATCCCAGTCTTTCTAGACTCTTTAAATTAGGAGATTAGCATAGTTATATATATCTCAGTTAGCTGGCTAACCATGCGCATTAAGTTAAGTCAAGATCAGCAGATATCATAGAAAGCTCTAGCTTAAAGAAAGCAGGAATTGAAAGTGAATGACTGACTTGTAAAGGTCAATCAGAAAAAAAGCAGTTTCATCATCAAACTCCATAGTGCCGTTCTTCAGATCCATGATGTCATCAGGTGTCCCACAAATAATGAACACTGTGAAATAGAAATAAAGTAACAAAACAAATAAAAACACACTTCAACGTTTGACTTTTTGAATGTAACAGTGGAACATTTTGACCAGTGACACAAATATTAACTTATAAATTACCATAAGTAAAACATTTACAAACTAATATTCAAATAAAATAAGTTCTCACGGTTGCTCTCCCGGTCATGGTTGGCCAGAGCTTTACTGAGCTCATCCTCTTTTCGTAGAACCACTAATTTCTTTAATCTGGTGGAAAAGTTGCCTAAACCCACTTCCAGAGCATTTATATACCTACAGACAAGACCCAAAAATCAGAAAGCCACAAGGGAATATTCCTATATTCCTTCATGAAACTCTTCTGTTGTTGCAAACTATTAATGTACAATATCACTACATACTCACCAGAAACAGTCCTCTGTGAAATTCAGTTTCTTGTATACATACGCTGTTTCCCATTTAGGCTTGATAGGATCTTCGAAACTCCAAAAGTAAGAGAAGAAGCTGGAGATTTTTCTCGCTGGAGGCAGAAGGCGAGTCAGATCTCTCTTGAAGTCACAAGACAATCCAAAGCTTCCTGCTGATATGATGGGCATGTTGAGGTTCAGACCGATCTCCAAACTACAAAAGTGGCCGAACGAACACATATCAGGTGTTGAGTAAACTCAGTTTTGAATAGCAATGAATTGCCCCAAAAACATCCATTTCTTAAATTGACTGACAGGTCCATTATCTTTTCAGTGAGGTCAACATGTTGTTCCTGTTGTTGCCATCATATACTACAACTTTGTGTCACTAAATCATTTTTTTTTGTTTTTTTGGTTAACAGTATCTGCCTGATGAATAAACATAAAAGTACATTATCCCAAAAATATACTCATACGGTATTATATTGGAAAATGTATTATTGTAACGAGGTGCGATGAAGCTGAGAAGAGGCGCTGGATCCAAACGCAATGTGGCTTTATTAAACAGGTTACGAACTTAGACAGGAACAGGATACAAAGACTCAGAAACAGGAATAACCAACATTAACATCAAACATTCAACAACTCACAAAGACAGGGCAGAAACACAGGGCTTAAATAATCATAGACAAACGAGCTAACAAGGAGGCGTGGGAGATCAGAAACACCTGGGATAATTAATAGACAAGACAGGGAACCATAGAACATGACAGGAAACAAACCCACATCGTGACATGCGCGGCCTCGGCAGGGCAGACGTGAAGCGCGGGCTCGGCTGGGCTGACGAGAGGCGACGAGAGCTCGAGCCTCCGCGGGTAATGTGAACTCGGGAGGTGTCGAGTAGAACAAGCCCGTAATAGAGGACAGATCATCCAAGGAGCAAGCCTGAGCGATATACCGGTCAAGAGTCCAGTCGGTAAAATATCTTAATTTGTGTTCCGAAGATGAACGAAAGTCTTACGGGTTTGGAACGACATGAGGGTGAGTAATTACTGACAGAATTTACTTTTTTGGGTGGACTAACCCTTTAGGTTGGTCAAAAAAACGACTTGCATTTTATATAGATTTAGGCCTTGTCCACACGGACACGGGTATTTTTATAACCGGAGTTTTACCTACAGCGTTTTTAAAAAAAATCCCGTCCACACATGCTCGGTCTCCGTCTACATGAAAACGTAAAAACACGCTATCAAGCGCGGTCAAGAGCATGCCATGCCAGCAGGCGGCGATATAAACATTAACCGTAAAGCCACGTTGGCCAATCAGAAGCGCAAATCTGACGTCAAACACAGCGGGTAACGGCGCAAACTCTGACGTCGCAAGGCAAAAACCCCGGTTTCACTGTCTACACGACAACACTGTAACCGGGGTTTCTGAAAATCCTCACCCTGGCAGGGGTTTTCAAAAATGTTCGGTTTCAGTGCGTTTTCGTGTGGACGAACGGCCGAACCGCGTAAAAAAAGTCACGGTTATAAAAATACCCGTGTCCGTGTGGACAGGGCCTTAAACTACTGTCATGTTCTATGGTTCCCTGTCTTGTCTATTAAAGCTGCAGTCCGGCGTTTTTCCTCTTTGTCGCCATCTCTGTTCGAAATCTGCAATTGCAATCATTTGCGGAATTATCAACTTTACGTGAGTTGTACTTCAACACCCTCGACAAGGCACAGCGCGGATGAACACAATGTTTGAGCAGCTGTCAATCACCGCGGCGGTGTGGATACTGGCATTCAGAATCACAGATTGTTCTTTTTGGAAGTATGACCAACATAAGAATTTTCACCGGAAAATGTCATCTGAACAAGTAAGAAACATCCACCTTTGTTCTGGTTCTGACATTGCAGTAAATCACACTGATTAAATCTAACAATCGCATATAAGTTATCATATTACGCAAAACCGTGCAAAGTATACTTTGTTCTCACATCAGTGTTTCCCCTACCATTGTTTTACGACCCCCGCCCCCCCCTAAATTGCTGACGAAATCCAGTCATAAAAAATAAATTTACTGTAGCCTATAACGCGGAATTTCATGGAATTTGTCAATCTTTTGAGGAATAAATAGAAAGCAGTTCAGTATACACTTGAAATCAAATCGCGATGTAGACAAGTGTGTGTGGATATTAAACCACAAAGACAATTTAAATACGAATCCTGCTTGTTCTGTGTGAATGAGTGGTGCCGCCGACGCGCAGTTTCATTTACCACACACACACACACACACACACTGAAGCACGTGTGACGCTTGCGCTGTTTTTTTTTTTTTTGCCTATATGAAGACACAAATGCATAAACTTCCTCTCCAGGCTCTAGATCCACTCCGAAAGTCACTTCGTGATCATTTAACCGCTTCATTTGAGAAAAACTATCATTATGACATAAACACACAAACTCAAAAGGTCTTCACGGCAACCCGTCAAAATAAAAGTTCGGTTTAACTTGACAGAAATATATTACAGTTGTACAGTAGAATTTAGATATGTCCCAATGCAATAATACTAACACTAATCCAAATAAATTATCATCAAAACTGAATTTAAGGAATAATCCATGTTTTAATTTTTACAGTAAAGCTCATTGTGCAGCACGTTATTTGACAAAAAGTTTATTTAATTTCATATGATTAAAACTGATGATAAATGATAAAATTTGTGTTTTATGTCTTCATTTTATTACCAGAAAAAACACAACACAGAATTAGTGTGAATTTTTTTTTCATATTTTTAAAAAAATGTTGTATACGTTTAATGATTCATAATACACTATTTCAATTAATTAGACATGCTTTTTGATTGCTAAAAAATTTACACCACGTATCCGTAACACGCCCGCTCTGCAACACTAGCAGTCCTAGGGGAAACACTGCACATTGTTAATGTTAACAACGTCAGCATCGCGTGACTACATGTAATGTCCTTCCGATATGTATCCTTGTTTTCGCATGGGTCCGGTTGCAGTCTCTTTTTTTCTGTAGCCACTCCGAAGTCCGAACGAAGTCTTTTGCATTTTACAGCGGGTGAATCTCTAGTTGTCACTGGTGATTGTCGTTTGAACCTTTCTGGATCCGCCATCAAATTGATAAGTTTAATTATATCAAGTGCTGTGAGAAAAGGCTATAAATCTACACCTCCAGCATCCTCACACGCAATATAGCTTATACTAGCCGAGACTCCTCCTTTATGTGTACAGATGTGACGTAATGACGCAAAGACATGCTCGAATTTCCCGCGGAAATCCACCAGTACCACTGGAATTAAAAACATTATTACAAGCTTACCGCTTTGAATCGAGCTAAGGCAAGCAGATAGTTTTGAACACTGGCTGGTTATGTTTTTTCTCAAATATGTGTTTTGGATCATTTTTAACCCCAAACGGACAGCAGCTTTAAAGTTGATTCCTAAGGAGGCAGATAGCATGAACTAAAACAAGAAAGCAAGGAAGTGTACAATACAGACAAATAACTGTAAAAGCAAAATCTGACATACTCAACCATTTGGAAAGTGGCATAAGTGCAGGTTGGTCCCAGTAGAGCACATCCCTCCTCCCCTGCATACTACAAAAGAAATCACAACAATCAGTGTAAACCTTATATATCCTATATTGTAGCTTCTATAAAGTATGTCAGAGGAAATAAAAGACTCAAAACTGACCGCAAGATCATTTAAAATTTCAACTCCCTCGCAGGCGCTACTGGTACAGCCTTTTTTTTGGAAGTAAATGGTTTGAAACCCTCTGAACTTCACTGATAAATCCACACCTTAAAAAAGTAGAAAAAGAAACAAATTAATTCCTTAATTATTCAAATACCATTCAAACCATGGTATTGATTGAAATATGAAATTGAACTAAATTTCATATTTAAACAATATTAAGTTGTCACTAAATCTTGTTTTTGTTTTACATAACTTTAAAGGGATAGTTCACCCAAAAATGTTACAATTTACCCACCCTCAATTTGTTCAAAACCTGTATGAGTTTCTTTCTTCTGTTGAACACAAAAGAAGATATTTTGAAGAACGTTGGTAACCAAATAGTTTCAGGTCCCTATTTACTTCCATAATATATATTTTTTTCATACTATGGAAGTCAATGGGGACCAGCATCTGTCTGGTTGTCCATATTCTTCAAAATATCTTCTTTTGTGCTCAACATAAGGTAGAAACTCATACAGGTTTTGAACAACATAAGGGTGAGTAAATGATGACAGAATTTAGATTTTTGGGTGAACTACCCCTTTAATTATGTCTTCACAAGACTGTAATTTCTGATGGTGTTGATTAGTTCCTCATATTCTATAAAATGTTGTTAGGATTATACTTTACCATCTTTTGAGTTGATTACAGAATCAGATTCAATAGCCCTCATCACCGCAGGCTTCACAAAATTGATACTCCAGGGCGACACGTCGTCATCCAATAAAATTACATTCATCAGAAGAGTGCCATTAAAACAAGACTCTTTCATGAAGTGACTTTGCTTTAGTAAAGCCCACGATAGACATGCAAATAACCAGATGTAATAATCCATAGTCTAATGTGAGGAAGAAAGACAAAGACGCCGCCCAATGTAACTGATTTTCATTATGTTTCAGTTCATAGTTTGTATTGTCCAGGTCTTTCCTGAGTTTTTTCCTGCAGACTTCATCATATTTATGTGAATATCCCAAGAATGGAAACCACTAATAAGGTTGTTTTATCCAAGCTGGTCTTTTGTCCTAGACAGGCGCACTTTCACACGGATCACTTTGCTCTCACCTCGGCGTGTTGCGTGTTAATGAACAACATAGTCAGTGGCCGTGTCCCAAACCCTAGTGAGCTGCCTACAAAGACAGCATTTATAAGCATCATAGGCAGATTTTTTTTTTTTTTTTTTTGCTGTCTAGATTGCAAGTTCACAAGGCTTGCTCACACAGTTACGGTCAGAGCGAAAGTTTTGGCCTAATATTCTCATAGAGGTGCTCTTATAAACATACAGTAGCCTACATGGGTAAGTAATCACATTTTTGTTAAAGCAACTGAAGCAGAAGCTCTCCGAGTCTATTGAACACTAGTGTACAAAGAAAACAACATGTTTAGGACGGTGAGAAGAGGAGTGAAGGACAAAGGTTGAGCCATAAAGCCATCGTCCCGTGATAAATGGATGCGTCATTAGCGATCAGAATGAAGCACCTGTCCTGTTTGTTTTCCCAGGTAAGAGGAGGATAATAAATTTCTCCTGGTGATGCATGATATGATTTGTTGTGCGTAGGTTATTTGCGTGTCTATTTTATTGTATTTATTTTAGGCATATTAAATACATTATAGCCTATAAAACATTTTTATTTAAGTTGTATTTAATTTTAAAGTTTAATTTATCCCCAGGAGGACTGTGTAGGCTACTGTGTCTTTCAACTTACAGGCAACTAAAAACGTTGTAAATAAATGTAGGTAGGCCTACACTTCTCATCTTTTTTCTTAAATGTAGGCTACTTGAATGTGCCACGCTTTCCAACACGTTTATGCACTGGGTGCTTTCCCTCTGTAATGGTTTATCATCAAACAATAGTCATGGCACTTCATATATTTATGATTCAGTTTCATTTATGACTTCTGAGAAAAATCTGAGAAGTAAATCTTATTTTAATCTCGATCAAAAGACGTCAGCAGACATAAGTCATTTTTTCGGTTCTCTCTTCTCTAGCTAACTTTCATTCATTGCACGTAAATGTGTAATTATATACAGTTAGTAGTTGTTTCTTTGTAGAATTGCCCCATAACTAGTTGCTGGTTTATGAGCTGAGGGTGCAATATAAAATGTATGATTAAAAAAAAAGTAAAATGTGTGGGGAAAAAATCACTATCCTTTCATAGTTTTTTGTTGTTGTTGTATTGCATTCCGTTTATTGTTTTCCGCACCGAAATTTAAATAGTCTTGCATTTTTCATGTGTAGTGCTCTCTTCTTTGACAGTATTTTATTAGCTATTTCCACATAACCACAATCTCTAGTTCTCATGATGTACTGCTCCCTCTAGTGGACATCTGTACACGTCACCTAATAAAAAACCCACCTCTTGCTTCTCTTCTGCCAAAAGATGGCACTACATCACTCAACACATTTATTGAATTCATGGCTGTACTTTGACATTTTCAAGGGAACAGTTTTGGTTTTGACACTGGATAATAGCGTATAATATGTGTATTTTGTTTTTCATTTTATATAGGCCTATACTTTATGTATATTTGATATGCATGCAGTAGGCTAATCAGTGAAAATTGTATAATTATTTTTTTTATATTCAATTATTTATTCGATACATAATATTTTAATATTTATTTTCATTACTGATTTGGCATTTACCTTTGCAATCTCAAAATCCACAGAGATAAATTATATCTCTATAAGCACTTTATTTACATAATCTGAGTGGAATTTAAAAATGTTACAATTTGACAAAATCTGTCCAGGAAAAACTTAAAAGAATAATCTCAAAATGTACAATTTGTGAAAATAACACTGCATTGAATGATTATGTTATTTCAATTTTATTAGAATTATCATAAGAAGCATTGTTCTTGACAAAATTAACAGATTTTTGTGATTTGTTACAGAAAACGAATACCTATCAATTACAAGTAAAGAAATGGAAGTTTTCATTGATGTGTATTAATTTATTTTAGGAAATCCGTTTTACATAAATGACTTAAACATACTCAGCACAATGAAATCAAATGCCTCTGTACATAAAATAAAAATAAATACATAATTAAGTACATATAAATGACAAATATTCAAACAAGGGCAAACACTGCTGCTCACAGTTATGTTATGTTATGTTCTGGCAATGCTATATCAAAGCTCAGCTGACTTGCATCCCAAACCATTTTCCAAACAGACCTCTGACCAACTTCCTGTTGCTTATTTGCCAGGCTGGAGAAAACAACAGTTGCATAACCCTAATTACTATTCCATCACTATCCTACTTACACACAACACCATTTTACACCAGCATGAGCACCGTGAGTTAAATCCCTTCCTTTATCTGTTTATTCCTCTATTGGGCTTGAATGTGTGAGCTAGGAGCTGATAACTTGCCCAGACCAGGTCTCATGCTTCCTTCCGGAAGAAAGGTTGGTGATCACCACATCAACAGCTTGGAACTTTATGTTCTTGGGAGGAACAGGACACACTTTGTAAGTCACCTCATCCCCCTCCATAGGCACATATTCACCCTCAATACTAGGTAAAAAAGAGAACTGTGGTTAAACAAATAGATGCTAAAACTACAAGTATTTTTTATATTGCATATTTCTAGAATTATATTTGTATATTCACTTACTCTGAGATGTGAACAAATATGTCTTCTCCTCCATGGGAGGGGTGAATGAATCCGTGACCTTGTGACCTGGAGAAGTTCTTGCAAATGCCCTTGAAGACGGGTCCAGATTTGGCTCTCACCGATCTGACAAAACACCAGAGGAAAACGTCTCTAATCAACTAACATGACTCCTTTTAGTAAATAAGAAGAGCAAAACATCTCTTTATGTTTTGTTGAAATGAACAACAATATATGGTGCACCAATACTTTTTTTTTTCTCAATACATCCATAGATTCTCTATACAATAACTATTATTTTTTATATATTTCAGTGTCTGTGTCGGGTTTATGTTTTGTCATTATCTTGTGTATTTAAGCCCTGAGTTTAGTTCTGTCCATTGTTCTGTATTGTCTTTGAGTTGAAGCCAAAGCTGTTACGTTGTTGTACTCCTACGATTCCTTTGTTTTGTTTATTAATAAAGTTAAACTGGCTGATATTAAGATCTACCTCTCTCTGCTCCTTCATCTTGATCTCCAATATGGCAGACTGTTAGCCAATGCAGAACAAGTTTAACTATGGTTTTACTTCTGCTTTTGACAAAAGTAAATAATCATTATTATATTACAACAATAAAAACCGAGAATGCATTATATTTTATTAAATAATAAAAACCATGTCATTTAATAATATAAAATAATAAATATTATATAAACATTTTAAAAATATTATTTCTTATAAATATTATAAATAATATGAATTATTTATATTATTTATAAATACTAAATTACATTATATAAATAGGATGTGCAAAGATTAATAGCATCCAAAATAAAAGTTTGTGTTTACATAATATGTATGTGTACTGTGTATAATTATTTTGTATATACAAATACACACACTTACATGTATATATTTAAGAAAAATTTGCATGTATATACTGTATATATATTTATATATAATTTATATTATATATAAATATTTTATGTAGAAATAACATATTTTTCTTAAATATATACATGCATGTGCGTGTATTTATATGTACAAAATAATTATACACAGTACCCATACATATAATGTAAACACAAACTTTTATTTTGGATGCAATTAATCGCAATTAATCGTTGGACAGCCCACATATTAAACATAAAAAAGTAAGATTTTTTTTTTCTGCGTTGATTTGAAGTCTTAATGGTTACAAAATGTATTTTCATGGTTTCATTTTATTTATTTATTTGCTTTGAGATCTTTAAATTGATTAAACTGTTATATGTTTTTCACTCTCTTTGCACTTATCGGTAGACCCAATACTGAAGAACAAAGTAGAAGAGTGTCAATATTAGTAAAAAAAAAAAAAATCTATCACCAACGTTAAAGTGAGACAGAATTTAAAAATCATTCAAAATCCTTTTTGCACTACCTTTACACAAAGTATATGAAATATTTTTACACCGTTAACATAGGTACTCACGCTGAATAGGTGCGTGTGCGTTTGGTTGGCAGTGGGCTAAGAGGTTCCCCTGTCTGATGCGGTTTCCTCTCCAAGACATTACTGCCTTCCCTCAGGAAAGGTAATGAAAGAGAGACGGGTGTATGTGGGCAGTGCAGCTTTCGATCAGATGTAGATGTGCTGTCTGAATCAGCCATTGGTGTGAAGTTCACTGGAGATGAGATGAGGCCTCTGTGGTTTGAAAATGGGTTAAATCAGGGAGAAAATAAATAACATTTGTATTTGTATGTATGCATGTATGTATATATAAATACAAATGTTATTATATATATATATATTATATATATATAAATATTAGTGCTTGGCAACGATTAATTGCATCCAAAATAAAAGTTTGTGTTTACATAATGTGTGTGTTCTGTGTATAATTATTCTGTATATATATAAATACACACATATGCTGTGCATGTATATATTTAAGAAATATTTCCATGTACTGTATATACATTTAAACAATTTATATTATATATAAATATTTCATATATAAATAAAAAAAATTTCTTACATTTACGTGCATGTGTATTTATATAAACACAAAATAATTATACACCGTACACAAATGTATATAACAGTATATGACAAAACGGTTTCTTCGAAATATCCAGACTGATTTTATCCATCCAGTCTGATTTGATCAGCTTTTACTGTGTTGTGTTGTCTTTGCCCTCAAATCTGGGTGCAGCAGCTGCATCGGGATTCGGGACCACATCAGATCGTATTACTTGGGGAGACTGTTTTCCACCATCAAACTGTTTCCTTTTCATTGTTTTCCAATGCACCACTGGTTTCTGCCCCGAATTCTAAGAAAGGCCAAGCATCTGTGTACCGCAGACTTCATATCAGTCTAATCGACAGTGACTAAACTGCGATTACGTGCGCTTTATTACCATACTATCAACCTGCGCTCAACAATGCAGGTTGTTGACAAACGTCGAGGAATTACTCTCAGCTTCTACAGTAACGTTACACAGCATGCGAAACCATAACAGTAAAGGCGTTTTCGATCAACGCTAACATATACAGACAGGATAGGAAAATACAATAGGATAATGATGAAATTCTTACCGTACTGTACGTTATAGTGGATACCAATTTGTTGGTTGTTATCTCGAGCGCCGCGAAAACAAATATATCTAACTTACATAGCTACACTAGAATCCACTATTAAATGTCTATCATTCGTGGTCCACATATGCACATATTCGACTCAATGGACCCTAGCACACAATAAATGAGGTTACGGGTGGAGAGGGAGGGACACCCCATCAAAATTGAACGCGTGAGACGCGACGCGACAAAACAAAAACGCTCCAATTATAATCAACGACACTACGCTGCACGCGGCAGAATAATGACGTCAGCCTTCAGTCGTCAAATCAGAGGGCCCATAATGTCATACAGGCGCGTCCTAGTTGATTTTGACGCGTCGCTATGTAGATGTGATGCTGTGGGGTTGTTATTTATGTTTCTTCTTCATAATATTTAAATGTATTACAGTTCAGTCAACGGTCTTTAAAGACCGATACTTTATAATATCGAGGGATTAAGAAGAAATTAATCACTATAATCAGAACAAAATTATATTGAACACCAATGGCTCCAGGGACCACCAGGGGCCTGCAAGGGAGTGGTAGTGGGTCCATGGAAAGGTTAAGAGAAAAACAGAATAAAAATGCAAAAATAAAAACATGGCAATTTAAAAATGTAACCGTAGTTAAAATATTTTTAAAATACTACTTTACACATTTATAATATTACTTTTTCACAGTATAATATTTAGCTGCCTTTTAAATTTAAGGATGGGGTTCCCTTGCACAAAGATGATCACATTTGGGGGTCCATAACATCTAATCCAAAATATTGAGAACCTGCATGCAAAGCTATATTATGTATTGTTTACCAATATAGGGTGTACAATATAATGTTGCGGAGGAAAAAGGCATGAGTCTAATACATACATTAACAAAGACTTAATTATTTGAAATGGCTTTTATTTTATAACCCACTGTGACTGATCAGCATTCATTTCCTCACAAACAAGAAAAAAAAAGAAAATAATGGAGTTATTACCTAGAGGCTGTGTTTGTGAGCTGTTACGAGCTGCAGTAAAAGTTCATCTGATGAGCAAACATGTTGAGTCAGACAAAGCTAGTAATTTACACCTTGGTGTCTTAGTAGTTGCTATTGTCTGCTGGTCAGAGTGATTGATGTCACTGCTTCGACATGGGTACAGCTCTGAATGAAAGAAAAGAAAACAACCCTACAAAAAAGGGCACTCAAATATACAGAAAAGGTGCTCAAGAGGTTGGAGTTCTGATTACTGACCAATTACTCAATAACTGTCATCCAAAACACTTAAGATAATGCACATCCAAGATTCTTTGCAAAGGTTTATAAATAAGCATTATGTTTAAAACATGAACAGATTTGACCTGCTGTGCATTCAGTACAGACATATTTGATAGATTTTGGTGTTGTAAATGATATAATCTGCCAAAGTTTGACTAACAGGCATAGACAAGTCACTCTGACTCAGTAAGAATTAGCGACATGAACAATAACTGGTCAAGTTTCAAGCTTCCATGAACAAGAAAACCAATTATCATGAAAAGTTGAAAAGCAGTTGTTAGAATGGTGTGAAATAAGATATCATTCCATCAAGAGAGACTATAACAGGACAGCAAACTCACAAGCAGCTCTCATTACAGTTAAGTGTAATATTTCAAATAACAGAAATTAATAATCAACAGTTGCATGAACACCTGCACAGAGAATTGGATGGTTTTATGAATTAAACACTGGTGTCTCCCTCTAACATGTATGTGCTTAGCATCTTTTGTAGGTTAACTTATTTTTTTAATTCTCCATTCTGTAATAAACACAGGCCCAGCTTGAAATTTATAAGCATTACAGTTGCTAAACTTCACATCTTTTATCTGCCCTGCAATATATTATATAGATTTGAGAAGTTTGTGTATTGACATGACTTGTCTATGCAGTACAGTTTTGAAAATGTATTGTGTATACAGTTCATAATTACATGAGAGCATTTAAACCTTTCATACACATACCAATCCACCTGCTTGATGCATAACCCCTCCCACATATGTATATCGATGGCCAATCACACTCATTACTGCATCTCTTTCATTCTGTTGAGGGCGGAGCCTGCCTTGAACCATTCAATCTGGGTTTCGTTGAAGGTGTGGTTCAACTCAATGGTTTCCGAGCTTCCGTCAATGTGCTTGATGATGGCATTAAGGGGCTAAAGGAACAATAGATTAAATAGATTTTTAGCGTCATGTTTGTGGGCTCTCACATTTTAAAAATCGGACAAGACTTTAAAAATCTTTTAGTGTGGGCCAGCCTTAACACAAACCAGTAAAGATAAACTAGAAACTGTTTAACAGAATAGGTCTTACCTTTCCAGGGGCAAAGGTCTTAAGCCCTTTAATGGAGATTTTATCGTCTGGGCGGATTTTGTCGTAGTCAGCAGGATTGGAGAAGGTGAGGGGCAGCAGGCCCTGTTTCTTCAAGTTAGTTTCTGTTGACAGTCATGACAGATTCATTCAAATCAATTGCTAAATGAGACGCTTGGCTTCAAGCAGGGAATAAAAGGTGTTTGCATTCAAATTCACTTACCATGGATTCTAGCAAAGCTTTTCACAATGATGGCCCTCCCTCCTAGATGTCTGGGTTCCAGAGCCGCGTGCTCTCTGCTGGAACCCTCACCGTAGTTCTCATCTCCAACAACTATCCATGAAACATTGTGCTTCTGCAAGTGGGGAAATTACAGACCATCCAGAAATCGTTATGAATACAAATGCTCTCAATATGACAAATATAAAAAAAGAAGCATTTACTTTGTAATGGCGGGCAACATCAGGGACGCCCCCAAACTCTCCAGTTAGAAGGTTGCGAATTTTATTGACGGCATCGTTCTCAGTATTAACGGCACCAATGAGAAGGTTATTGGAGATGTTATCGAGGTGGCCACGAAACTTAAGCCAGGGTCCAGCAGCGCTGATGTGGTCAGTGGTGCACTTTCCTTTCACCTGACAGAATGAGTTACATAGTTCAGAGTGATATTGAAAACCAGAATTTCAAACATCCATGACTAAAACTTACCTTGATGAGCACTTGGAGGTCCTCAAGGTCTTTCCCACTCCATTTGTCGAAGGGCTCGAGCAGCTGCAGGCGGTTGCTCTGAGGGTTCACATCTACTTTCAGACCAGACCCATCAGGTGGTGGGTGCTGGTAGGTGTCCTGACCTGGGTCGAAGTCACGAGCAGGAAGCTCATCTCCTGTGGGCGGCACCAGTTTAAACTTCTCTCCGTTGGGGGCTGTGAGAAAGTCAGTCTCAGGGTTGAAATTCAGAGTGCCTGCAATGGCAAGGGCTGTGACAATCTGCAACACAAATGATATGAAAAAGTGAAAAAATAAATAAATTGCCAAGACTTCATACAAATGGTTTTGGGGGGAAAAACATTCAGAGATTGTAGCACATTTGTGAGCAGGTGCGAAATACCTCTGGTGAGGTGACAAAAGCATGAGTGGCAGGGTTAGCGTCATTTCTGGCCGTGAAGTTTCTGTTGAATGATGTAACAATGGTGTTCTTTTCTCCCTTCTTAACGTCACGTCTGCAAGAAAGATTTTTTATTGGTTTATGATATGGCTTTATTACATAGCTTTATTACACAGTTCTTTGAATTACTTCATTCTGATTGGACAATCGTGGAATTTACGTCAAATATTTTAAAATGGTCAACTATGAACGTTGTCCCAGGCACCTGATTTTTCTACTTTCATATCTCTCATGTGACTCAGAGCTCTCAACCTTCTCACATAATACAACGAGTCAACTGAAATCAATTTCATAGCCAATATTTTAACAAGTAACCCTGTATTACCTTAATTTAGTCATTTAATACTTACACAAACAACTTTGGGACAGTAAGGTCATTAGGTAGGTTTATTTATTTATTTTTTACTTTTATTCAGCAAGGATGCTTAATTTATAATTTACAGTAAAACACTTTTAATGTTGAAACAGATGTTACCATTTCAAATAAATGTTCTTTTTAACTTTCTATTCATCAAAGTACCTCAACCTCTTGAATACCTGGGAAACCTGTTTCCACAAAAATATTAAGTAGCACAACTATTTTCAACATTAATAATAAGAAATGTTAATTGAGCAGTAAAATCAGCACATTAGAATGATTTCTGAAGGATCATATGACACTGAAGACTGGAGTAATAATGCTGAAAAAAATCTATTTTGCCATCACAGGAAAAAATCAGATTTTAAAATGTGTTAAAATCGTAATCAAAGTAATTGACAATAGGTCATTGAATTATTTGAATATAAATGTACACCAGAGGTTGTAATGCAGCCATGATCTGAAGATTGGTTCATCAACCAATAAACAGCCCTGTAGTATAAATTGTTTTAATATTTCACAATATTATATACCCCAAACTTTTGAACGGTAGTGTACAAAAGAAAATCTACAATGTTGAATTAAAACCTGCGTTGAAGACAAATACTTTACCTGTCCCACTGACCAATGCAGGGTCCACAGGCATTAGCCAAGACAACTCCACCAACATCCCTCAACACTTTGGCCTGCAGGTAAAGAAACACATTCAACTGTTAGACTAAACGCAGAACAATCAAGTCATTTGGACGAACACACAACCAATTTCAAGCTATTTCAAATAATAAAATCCCCGGGCTCTCCAAATCAGACTCACATAGCCATCTCTCTCAATCGTGGCACGAATCTGCTCGGACCCAGGGGTAATCGTGAACTGGGCTTTGCTTTTGAGTCCTTTGTCGAGTGCTTGTTTGGCCACGGAGGCAGCTCTGCCCATGTCCTCATAACTGGAGTTGGTGCAGCTTCCAATCAGACCTGTAATGTTCATGGACAGGGAGCAATTTTATAGAATAATAAAAGTATATCAATGACCATTAAAATGGGGTGGACTCTAAATCACTGACCAACTTTAACATCCAGGGGCCAGCCATTTTTCTCAGCGACAGACCCGATGTCTGAAACAGGGTGGGCCAGGTCAGGAGTAAATGGGCCATTGATGTGAGGCTTCAGCTGTAAAGGAGGATAATAAATCATGTTGAAGTGAATTTTTAACACTTAACTGTAAGATGCATTCAACTTTTACCTTAACTGACCTGCTCTTACCTCACTTAGATTAATCTCGATCACCTGGTCGTACTGACAACCCGAATCAGGTACCAGTAGATCTTGATTCTCATTTGATAGAGCAGCGATTTCTGAGAGGGAAAAGTAGAATGAGAGGCCGAACTTATGAAGCAACAGTTGAATTATCCATTGATGAGAGACTACCGCTGCTTACCTCCACGACCAGTCTTCTCCATGTATGTCCTCATACGGTGGTTGTAAGGGAACACAGAGGTGGTGGCTCCAATTTCAGCACCCATATTACAGATGGTGGCCATTCCTGATTAGAAAACCCAAAAGCATATTCAGATTTTACAATGACTGATATAACACTCCCTCCTTATGCCACCAACACAGTACACGATTTTAGGCCCGATTTTGAGCTCGTCGGCAGTTCATAGAGATCGCAGCAACAAAAAAAAAAGAAAGATTTGAGGCACCTCAGCGATTGTTCATGCGGGTGATGACAGCTATGTTTAAATGATCAAAGAAATGACCTTAGAGAAGCCCTGGTGGCCGAGAGATATTTAGTAGGTTAAATAACTCGAAATTTCTGTAATAAAAAATGACTAATTAAATTTAATTAAAGGAGCTGTATGTAAGATTGTGGCCAAAATTGGTACTGCAATCACTTTCAAATTACTGTAGAGCTGTGTATCCCCTCCCCCTCCCCCCTGACTCGAGGTTGCCAGATAGGCTGCAGGATCCAGCAGGAACATAGGCTGCTACAAGGAGCTTTCAACTAGAGCAGAGCTGGCAACCCGGATGCCGAAACACTACTGACTTCGTGATTGGTAGATAGGTGGAGGGTGGGGCTTCAGGCCAAAACACAAGATGACAACATCAACATCAGTTGAGGGCTGCAACTTCACTTTTTAAATGACAATATCGTGGCCGTACTACTGTTGTCAGTGATATAAGTATTTGAAATGAACATGATTTCTTAATGTCTAGAGACACATCAGGGCCATTTTATGATTAATTGAAATACATTTCTTACATACAGCTCCTTTAAGTACAAACTGTAATTAAATATCTAGAAATGTCTGTAATTAAATGTCTGTAACTAAATGTCTGTAATTAAAGTTCTGTAGTGTGAAATGTTTTTTGACAGGAACTGACATGGAGACAATAATGTGACAAGACAGCAATCCGACGACTTCAAAGGTCCTTTAGTGTTTGGGTGGCATGAGGGAAATTAGAAACATCCAAATTGGACTTTGTGCATTTGTGTTTCACAGATTTACAAGTGATTTAAATCCCATCTATATTCTACGGAACCCCTAAGGGACATGGTAAAAGGAAAAAAAAATATGAGATGGGAGGAACAAATATTTCAATGCTTTTGCGTTCTCTCGCAAATGTTTGCGTTCCCCCGAGAAATATTGAGTCCGCACACAAAATGCTTTGCATTCCCTCAAGAAATAATGCGTTCTGTCACAAAATGTTTTGCATTTCCATGATAAATATTGAGTTTCCTCACAAAATGTTTTGCGTTCTCCTGAAAAACTGCATTCGCTCACAGAAAATGTTTTACATTCCCCTGAGAAATATTACGTTCTCTCACAAAATGTTTTGTGAGCTAACACAAAGTTTCTCTGGGGAACGCAGAAGCATTGAAATATATATATTTTTTGAGTAGTATTCAACATGCCTGTTTTTATTCACTCAACATATAAAAATGACGAAGCAAATAACACACTGTTTGTCAGCTAATTGCCATCCTCTGAGAAATCTAATTCCATCTGGACAATAACGTCTTAACGCTTCTCATTCATTATGACCTTCGTTGAACACCATAACTAAAGTTAAATTTATCACTGCACACTCTGGTGCACTATAATTGTGTATTTCGACCTTACGTTATGGATACAGACTTTCAGCTCAAAGTAACAGTTGACCAAATGAAGGAAGGACAGTTAAATGCCAAAATTGCTCAAAATGGTCACTGTAATAGCAGCTACAGGTATGATCCCTAACTTAACTACCTTATGTAACCCTACCTTACCCTAATTATCTTAATTAACGAATTAAGTTGTTGATGCTTATATGAATGATGATATATATGAAATGGCACGATGATATATGAAATGTCCAATATTAATAATTGTATCTCAAAAATTATTTAGAAAATTAATCCAATCTAAATATTGCTTAAGCAAGTTTTCACCTGTGCAGGAGATAGAGTCCACACCAGGGCCGTGGTACTCCACAATGGCACCAGTGCCACCCTTCACAGTCAAAATACCAGCAACTTTAAGGATGACATCTTTTGGTGAGGTCCAGCCAGATAATGAGCCTGTTAGTTTCACACCGATGACCTGGAAAAGCAGATAGAACCTATAAATATACACTTCCAGTTGCCCAATTTTAGATAGCAAGTGTAAAGTCCAATGGAAACGGGCAATAGCAGCTTACGTTTGGGCACTTCAGCTCCCAGGGGATGCCTGCCATGACATCAACAGCATCAGCTCCACCAACTCCAATGCAGATGGAGCCCAGACCACCACCATTAGGGGTGTGAGAGTCTGTACCAATCAACATGACTCCTGGGTACGCGTAGTTCTCCAAGATAATCTTTAAATATAATAAAGGAAAAGAAAAGGTTGATTAATATTGCTTGCTGTGATCAGCTAAGAACAAAAAAGGAACATGACTTCTCTCATTATTATTATTATTTATAATGTTTTTAATCATTTAAATGGTCAAAATTAAAGCAAAGAAACATTACTATTGCAATATTATTGTGATAATCAAATAAATACAAATTGGAAATAATAATATTTTACAGAATATCAGTGACATCACAATATCCCACTAGTATTTTAATTTCTTAATTATAAAGTCTTAATTTATTTGCTTTCAAACGTTAGAGATTTTATTGGGACCAAAAACGATGGGGGACCTTAAATCATTTTTTTATTGATAACAAATTAGTTTAAACGAATTGGTAGTAAACAAATCGCATAACAAATTTGATAAGATGGTTGGCACGTTTCCCTCAGATTTACGTGGGCTCAGGCCGAAAAATAAAGAATGTATAAATATGGAAAAATCACATCCCTGATACTCGGACTTTTAGTATTAATTTTAATTAAGCAATTTAAGGGTGCTCTGATCATGATTTTTGGGCCTGATCACCGATTACAGATCACTGGAAGCACTTTTGGCTGATACTGATCAACTGAAACCCATCACTGAAATAAATAATAGGCCAACTAATCTTAACAACAACAAAATTAAGAGATGAGAAAGTATCATGATTTGACAACTCATTATTTATCGGCAAGCAACATGTACAACATATTCCATTCCCTTTCTTAGAGGTGATCAGGAACAGCTTAGAGCTTAACAAATAAAGAATTCCTGTGAAATATATAATAATAAACAACAACAGTGTTTATCAACAGAAAGTAATAAAATATAAAACACTACATAGTCTTCACTGTATAAATTAAATATAGATTAATGTCTGTTTAGGAATATTAGGCTGCTGTCACTTTAAGACCGAATGCTCGGATCCAGTATACTGTGCTGTTACACATGCAACTTATTTCCCAACTGTTTATGTTCACATAAGTCGATAGTGTTTAAGCGAATACTCACCAAGCGGGGCATTTTGACATATTTCTGTTTGTATTTAACCGTTTAGGAACGAACTCGAAGTTCAAAGCTGACTTTGCTTGCCCGTGTTCCACTCCGTCTCGGAGTGAGCGCAGAGAAAGCCACTTGGGGAACAGTATCTCTTTCGCGGCTTAATGCAGTTTTAATAACTCTTTTTATTATCGAGCACATCCTGCAGTTTAGCAACAGTAGACTGTATTTTGTAACAATCACTGATCTAGCTAATTTAGAGAAGCAATTTTAGCTGCGCATAGCAAAATTGTCTCGCGTTATCTGATCAACCTTTATCGGCCGATAACGTTTGGCGCCCGATCAATTGGAGCATCCTTAAAGCAATTATGTGTACATCTTATGTGAAATTTAATAGTCATGGACAAACCACCTGAAAAAAGTCATACTGGTTAACAACTAGTCAAACGTTTTTTTCTCCAGTACCTGATGGATGATCCCAGAGCCAGGTTTCCAAAAGCCAACACCATATTTAGCCCCAGCACTAGCAAGAAAACTGTAAACCTCTTGATTCACTTCCTGGTTGACAGCGAGAAAAGGAATGAAATAATGAAATAAAGGAATAAAAACAGTGAAGAATAAATAAATAAAATATCTTCTTTTGTGATATTTTCAGAAGAAAGAAATTCATACAGGTTTGGAATACAAGCAAATCATTTTCAACAACATCCCTATATGGCATCATTCACCTTTGCTTTCTGTAGATCTTGGACTCCTCCGGTCTGGGCCTCGATAAGATGGTCACAGTGGATGGTGGATGGCACTGCCACTTTTGGGAGTCCACTGCTGATGAACTGCAGCATGGCCATTTGTGCTGTTGCATCTTGCATAGCAACTCGATCCGGTCGCAGGCGCAAATATGTGCGTCCTCGAGCGATTTCCTGTCCAGCCGGGTCATCCAGATGGCCATAGACAATCTTCTCTGACAGGGTGAGAGGCCGATTGAGTCTGGAAGATGCGATTTCACATGTAAAGCACTTGGAAAAACTCACAGGATTTTAAACTAACCAATTGCATGAAAAAAAGTATTTTTCTTCTGTAAAAGTAAAAAAGAGCCACTGAGTCGCCTTATTAAAGATAAGAAGGGCGGAAGCAAATAAAATTAAGTGTAAAATACTGTAATGCTTTCTGACCTTTTGCGCACAATGTCAATATTTGAGCGAAGCTGGTCATAGTTGACGCAACTGCTTGGCTCAAAGCGGCTCATGGCCACCTGGGCCTTTGCGTTGAGGGCTGCCGCCACATGAAAGCGGCGGGCACCCTGACCCAGAGCGAGCTGAAATAAAATAAACGGAATCAGTACACAAAAAGCTGAGACACAAACTCAGAAATCACATAGAAACAACTAGACTATAATATAAACAGGGTTCCAACATCTTTGACCAATGAAATTCCATTATATTTCCATGACTTCCAGATATTGCTCCCTTGAAGAGGACATTTTAGAGGATTAAATACTTTTGAGAACATCATAAATAATAATAATCATCTGTATTTTCTAGAGAAAAGTCTATGACTTCTTGGGATTTTGTGTACTTTCATGCCTTGAAATAAGTTGTAAAATTCCCTGATATTGTAATGAAAGTGAGAACTGAAAAATACATTTAAGTTGACATACACAACAAATAAATATATCGTATATCTTGTCAAATAAACAGTAAATAAATATATATAGGCCTACTCAATCTTGACCTGAACACACTGTCATACATGTGATGCCTGCATCCATGACAGCATCAAGGTTATATGTTGTTGTTTTTTTAACCTCATGTGGACAGAAACATGTTACTGGATTGTTTGAACTCCCGTCATATATGTTTTTAGGCTCATATTATTAATGACGACATCAGTATAGATTACCAGTGTAACGTTATTGTATTTTTGAAATCACAGCTGCTCACTTCGCTCATTAAGATCAGACCTCAGGTGTAAAGTTATGCCAATTTAAGAATGCATATAATAGTGTTAGATAGATACAAATGTAATCATTTGCTTTCAAGGATTCCATGACGTTGTCATGTAGCGGTGTCACTAGTTAATCTACACCGACAGCGCCGTTATCCTCACTACGCTGTTTTAACCTTGTGTTCACCTTGCGACTAAAACCAAACAGCCAGACATGAAAAATACACAATGACCGAATCAATGAAATAGCTGTGAGTATTTCTGGTTTCGTGCTTTGGCTGTCTTGTATCAAACAGCTGGAAATAAAGATTTTACGCCATCGGCGAGGCAAACGCGTCTGCTATGACATCCTTGGCCACAATGACCTGTGAGCACTTGATGAGCAGATTTCAGCACACAAACAGTCAGATCACTCATTGCGAGCAGCTCAAACTGCCAAACACAGATCTGGGCGACATTACTATACGAATTAAAAAATCCAAACCATGCGTGTTGACTAGATAACATTTAGATGTTCATGTACCTGAAGCCGGGCGACGGTTAAGCAGTAGGTTGCCATTTTGTTCACTGACAAAGATGTGACGCGAGAATATGACGTGCGGGTATAAGAACTCGTTGTCTTGGAAGGATGTTGAAATGTTTGGATCTAATTGTGTCTTATTTTAAAAGACCAACAATTTAAGATACTCACATTTTTTCCACATTAATTATTAACGCAAAAAACATGAAAGTAAAATGAAAAATTGAAGTAATATTAAATTCTAGTAATGTTTTGTCCAGATGTGCATCTCTTTCTTTTAGGACCTTATTGTCTAAAATGACACAAAGATTTCTAACAATATTTCCTAAACCTGTGATATATCTACCAACATAACAATATACAAACATTTATTTTAAAATATTAAAATATATAAAGCCAAACATAGATTTTTTTATTTTTAGATAACACGTTACAGTAAGATTTCACTGAACATTTAGTAATACATTTTTTAAATAAATTGTTGTATATCTGTAAATAATATTTTATGGACCATGAACTAACAATGGACAGTTGTCTTTTTATTACCTAAAGTTAACAAAGATTAATAAATAATATAACAAATGTATTGTTCGTTGTTAGTTAATGTTAGTTAAAGTTAATTTTAACTAGCGGGACCTTATTGTAAAGTGTTACCATATTTTACCATAGAAGCAGACCTTAATTTTGATTAAATTAATTGAAAAATATTCTACGTGTGTTTTTTTTTTTTTATTTACAAAATTAACAGCAAACATTCCTGTTTTTCCCGGACTTTTTTCCAGATTAATTGAGAATGGAATTTTACTAAATGTCCCCTTGTTGAGATCGGTTGAGATACGTTTCTTTTCACTTTTAAAAACGTGTCTGGTATCTTGATTATTTCGTACACATTTGGTCAAATAATGTGCTTGCCTTTGAATTAAAATAAAAAAAATCTCTCTGGTCATGTTGTATTGTGTCCAGTAGGTGGCAGTAAGTTGCTGCTCAGCCTTCAGTCCGAACAATCAGAAGAAGGAAGTTCGAAGGTCATCGTTGCATCGCCGCTAGTATCTCGCTAGCTGGCTACGTTCGTTCTTTTATAATGGCAAAACATCACCCAGATTTGATTTTTTGCCGAAAACAGGCTGGAGTTGGTAAGGCTTTATATTTATTAAATCTAGATTTTATTAAAAGCTTTAAATACATGAATTGTTATTTCATGTATTTGTTAACGAACAAATGTATAGCTAACAAGGCAGTGAATGGTCGCAAGCGCTAAATGAATGAATAGTCGTATTAAAATTAAAGTGGGAGGTGATTAAATTATTTATGTAGCCAACGCTTAATATATCTCCCTGACTTAAGTTAATTTATTAGTTGCTAGTTAATGGCTTAACCAGATATTTATTCTGAGAAAAATCTGGTGAAGTATTGTAGCAACAGATGCAAAGGTAAAGTCAACGTTACTTGGTCGTTTGTTTAATAGTTGGAGCCTGGAGGGCAGTATTGTCATAATTAATATTTTTTTTGTTTACCTTTTGCTGTTTTGTTCATTTGCATGGTTTCAATTTGATCAATTATAAAGTACGTTGTATCTAATTTTATCTTTCCTTTCTTTGCAGCCATTGGGAGACTGTGTGAAAAATGTAAGTTTTGGACTTTATCGAAAAAAATCACATTTGTTCGTTTTACAGATGATTAGTTAAAGAAAAAGTAGTCACTTTGTGCATGCTTATATAAATACTATTTAACAGTAGGAAAATTTCCATTTTTTAAACAACAAACATTTCAAGACAGAGTTACCATGAGCTCCAAGTGATTAATATACGCCACAATGGTAGAAGTAGGGCTGCTCAATAATGACAAAAATTATAATCAGGATTATTTAACATGCTTATGAGTGGGCGATATTGACCAAAACCTTATATATGTGATTTTATTTTTAATTTATTGCAAAATGTAATCAACTATATTTTGCTTGAATTTCACAATTCTTGATACCAATCAATTTATTGATTGCCACAGCAGAATATTAGGCTAACTAATGTAAGTTAAAAAAAAAAGTCCTCAAACAATTATTGAAGACAAGTAAACAGTCAGCAGTTCTGGGTAGATTATTTGCAAATTATAGTCGGTCACTGATTCCAAATTGCATGACAAAATTTGTAGTAACATATTGTTGTAATGTAACATAATCCCTTACATTACTCGTTCAAAGTAATATAATCTGACTTTTGATTACTTTTATATTACTTAAACTCATTTATCACATTGAGTAGGACAATCTTGTACCATATTCATATAAAAATACAAAGATATATTTTTTTTATTCCATTCTTTATCAACAACATGAAGTGCATTAAATATTACATTATTGAATATTACACATCCTGTTTTCTCCCAACTATTCACGTTCTCTTAAAACGTAACCTACTGTGTTTATGTGAATACAGTAAACAGAAAGCCACTTCCGTGTGATCAGGATGGTACTGCTACGATGTTATGCTCTTTAACTCAACAAATGTCTGTTTCTTTTCTTTTTAAGGTGATGGCAAATGCGTTATCTGTGACTCTTATGTCAGGCCTTGCACACTAGTTCGTATCTGTGATGAATGCAACTATGGGTCTTACCAAGGGCGCTGTGTCATCTGTGGAGGTCCTGGAGTTTCTGATGCCTACTACTGCAAAGAGTGCACCATCCAGGAGAAAGATGTGAGTAAATCTGCCTGATCATCGTTTGACTGACTGATGCGAAATCTATTTTGCCCAGTATCAGGGATGTGTAACCATATTTCCCTTCATTCAGTACTTGGGTAACTGCTCCTCATATTGAATTTTCAAATGTAATTATGATGCGTTTTGGATGCATGCTTTTTATTATATTACTGGAAGTTTCTGAAGAACTGTCTGTTTCATTGTTTTTCAGAGAGACGGCTGCCCCAAGATCGTGAACCTCGGAAGCTCGAAGACTGACCTTTTCTATGAGAGAAAAAAATATGGCTTCAAGAAGAGGTGAAGAAACAGGGATTTTGTTTGTCGCAGTAGTGCAAGAGTTTTCCATTTTGTTGATACAATAAAACGTTTTTTTTAATGTTGTGGTGTTGATTATTCTGTTCTGTTTGATTTGATTTGATGCTATTGTAGGGGAATTTACAGTTAGAGACCCAAGGACCAGATATGATTAATGAAGACCATGAGTCAGAAATGCAATCAAGTGAATCAGATTAAGAATAGTTTGCATTTTCATCAGCAGAAGTCAGCTTCCACACTCAGCAAGGAGTTCGTAGGCATCTCTGCGTACACACTCATTACAGCAGCAATTCTACTCACACAATCACTAAGCTACGTCATCACGTCAGGTTGAATGATTCTGATTGGTTAAGGCACAGATAAACTTTAAATATTTCTATTGAGGTCACCAATCTGGGTTTCTAGGCTCCAGTTTGTCTGTCAGATGGTCATCCCACCTCCTGTGCGTGCCAGCTGTTCACCTTGTGAACGTCAGGTCCTGTACAAAAGAGTACCAGAAATGCACGCACAGATACACAGCTTCTTCAAGGTTGGAGTTGGTCGAGCTCTTGCTCTGATCAGGAAACTGACCCAAAACATTCTAAGTTGTACTTTCTCTCAGCTAGAGGTTCAGACAAAATTCGTCAATATTCTCTAGTGATTGAAGATAAAAAAATGAAGTAAATGTTTTAACTAAGATTTGGTTAAGTAGGAGAAGGGCTTGAGTGACCCTGGTGACCTTGACTGTCATGGTCAGCTAGAAGAGTAAATGTATGTTTTGACATGTTGGGTGCTTCTCTCAAAAAACATAGAGAGCAAATTCCAGTAAACAGAAATGTATTTCTATAACTACATAAATCCAATAAGCCTGAAGAAGTCATTCAAATCATTTAATGTGTGGAAGGATAAATATGAATACCTTGATTATAATCACTCAAAAGGATATACAGTACATTGAAGAGGCAGTGGATTATTTTATTTTTAGGATTAGAAGGTTGTAAGATTGAATATTTTATCTCCATCATTTTGGAAGTAGTATAGATATTTCAATATTAGAGTCCTGATTTGTTTCAAACTTCTATAAATAAAACTCCAGCCTGTTATGCCGGGTCTTTTTTATTTTTCCTGCGTGTTGTTGGAATTTTGGTTACAAAATACGCTATCTGATTTAATTATTTAATTCAACGTAAACTCTTGTGGCTTCTGTCTGGGCCACCCTGTCACAGGAAGGAAAGAATAAGAACAAAATGTAACACGTTCGATATAGATTTTATGGTAGCACATTACAATAAGGTTCCCTAATGCATAATTGAAATCAAAAGTTGTATCTCTTAATAGTATTCAATGGACTTGAGCTAACATTATCAATGAATGTTAAAAAAGATTAAATACTGTAATAAATGTATGGCTAATTAAAGTTAATCTTAGTTAATGGCTGCAGTAATAGGAACTTACTGTGGAGTGTGTAACACTACACCGTCCTGACCTATTTTTTTTACAGTCTATGGTCCTGACAGCACGCAATTTGTTATGTCAGAACTAGCGCGAGCGCTTTAAGTATGTCAGAAATGGTCAGAAGGGGGATCAGTTTACAGCATCGCAGATTATAAAGGGTTCTATTTGCTGTTTTCTAGTCTGGTGTGGGGCAGACACTGTGTTACATACTTTACTAACATAAGCACAATAATCGTTTTATTGTCTTTCTTTAAACATGATCATAAAATACAATATTGATCAACTATTACATTCATATTTATTGATATGTATATAGAGTATTTTCAAATTCTACTTTTTTTCAGTTAAATATGTACTTGAGAAAAAATACATGATTTATTTTGGGATTGTATGGGCTTGTTCTGTATGGACATATATTCATTTTATTTGGGCATGTCTTAAAAAGTCTTCATTTAATTTTTTTTCAAGTCTGTAAAAGGTTCCTTGTTAGGCATTGAGAGAGTTGTAATTCAGTGAATGTTAGGTAATCTTGACTGAAATGTGATCGCTCCTTATGAAAAAAACCTTTATTGAAATGCATCACACTGCCTTTTTTAGCCCCTCCCTCTTTGTGTTATGCAACTTTTTTTTCTTTTTTCTTTTTGCCGTCTGTCTTACACAACACTCTACCATCTGAAATTTGAGATTCAGTTAGTCATAATTCTCCTAGGCATCAAAGAATTTTCTGATTTAAATGCACTGTTAAATATTGTTAAAATTACATGTAGGTAAGACACGTTTTTGAGTTCTTTAATAATATGTACAACACGAAACAGACAAGACACAGAGAAAACATTTACAAGTCAAAAAAATGTTTAAAAGACAAAGAAATTTCTTTCCTCAAAAAAAAAAGACCAATAACAATTAGAAAACCATTCAAATCTGACAAAATAAAGATTTGTTACTGCAACAAAGATGGCATCTCACATAAGCAACCGAGTTCTTTTCTAGTTGATTAGAAGAAATGCTTCATAACAGGCAGAGACAGTCACTATTCCTTTCAGAACAGCCATTAAGCCCCATTTTATTTTATTGTTGTTCCTCATCTCTCGTTTCACACTCATCAGAAAGGAAGCTCAAGGAGAAATGACAAACCGTAAGTGCAACATTAAAGAGTGTCTACAGACCACAGATATGAAAAAGTTTAAACACCTGATTTAAATGGAGTCATATAAGCTACAGAAAATGGTATCTTCAGCGTTTTTGATCAAAGTTAACTTTGGTCAAAATTACATTACATATCAGATTCCCTTTCCACAAAACATGAAAAACGACAAATGTGGTCACACGTAATGCAAAATTAAACTTGGTAATAAACATCTGCCTAATTTCCACTTCACAACAATAAACCGTGAGCAAAAGATATTGACTGCTTGTGAAACCGTTATCTTTATTTTCTTTCCCTGGTGATATTACGGGTGCTTCTCAATCGGAAGGCTGCATATCTCGGCTGCCAAAGGACATCTCTATTTAAAGGATCCTTAAGGCCCTTTGCACACTGAGTCCGAAATTTTCATATGCGTTTTTTCGTATTCGTGATTCGGTGGCTCTGAATTGTCAAAACACCATTCAAACTGCTTGCTACGGATGCGAAAAACGCAGAAAACTGAACCCGATCTGATTTTTTTATGACGGACGAAAGTTTCGGAGGCAGTGTGCAAGCGTGATTGACATAACGTGAGGTCGTATTTATTTTTTAACGTGCGAAAATTTCGGACTCAGTGTGCAAAGGCCATTAGAAGGCAGCCTTCGTTTCGCGTCCTTCATTCAGCTCATTTTGAAGGATGCATCAAGTTTATACTTCAGGTCCTCCAATTACCCACAATCCTTTTTTACAAATGAATTGTGTAAACATGAACATGTGACATAGCCATGCGCACTTACTAGACCGTCTCATTTAATGCTGAGGAGGACTCTAGACTAGACTAGGAAGAACGCAACCTCACTAGGATGCAGTCTTCCGTTTGAAAAGCTCCCTACATGTTTCAAAAAGACAAGACAAGTTGCACAAAATATGTACCTGAAAAAGTAGGACAGTGGCGAGCGGGGGGCCGACGCCCTTTCAAGAGGTTTGAGCTTGGTTTCTGATTTGTAACTTTAGCGCGCTTTACAAACAGGCACTCCGCTGAAGACACTTATGGATCCTTGTTGACTCTGAGCTATGAACGGTGTGGTTCACACTGCGAAGCCATTTTTTTTTAAATATTTGAAGTTATCTAAAAAAATATACATCATATGATACATATGGGAAAAAAACACTATATCAGCACTACATTTGTTTTGCTGAGTTCCAAACAGAAACAAGATCCGTCACATGTACAGAGGGTTATTTCTGTACATAAACTGACCTCCATGAGTCCCAGAAAGGGTGAACCAGTAAACAAGGTATGGTTTTAGGAGATCTAATGAGTTATTATGAAAGACTCCATATCTACTGTACAATATTTGTCAAGTTTTGCAGATATACAACAGTGCACATATTTCCAGTACATTTTTTGATGAATTCTAGCACTTGCTGACAGACAAAACATTTAACAAGGTTTTTTTCTGCAGCACAAAAACATGATAAATTTACATTACCTGCTTAACGTTTTTTTTCAGTTACCTGTAAATACATACTTTTGAAGTGATGCATTCTCTCCATATTTCAATAATAGCATTTTAATTATTTTGCAGATAAAAATGCACCGAGTAGTGGTAAAATGTACCAAATTTGTAAAAGGAATTCTTAGAATCAATGTCATTTGTTCAGGGATAAACAAACTGATATTTAAGAAAGTATATTAAAGTCAATGCCAGTCATTCTTCATAAATAAAGACCAGTGACTTCCAACGCACATTATTCCTTAAAACTACCATAAAACAAGAAAAGGTAGAGGGGAAAGACCTTTTCTACAATGCAATGCTTTACAAAAAAAGCACTCAAAAGCTCTATTGGAAATATTGGGTATGCTGTTGCACTGAATATAAGATTATTATATTGATAAGAGTGGCTGACAGGATTCATAATCATGAATATCACTTAGCTTTACAGTCTGAATTATTCATTCACTTATCTTCTGTCTTCTCCTTTTCATTCCATACCATTATTAATTTATTGCCTTTCGACAATGCAAATAAATCAATAATTGTTTAGAGGTCTTCAGCTGGTCCACTTGAAAAAGAAGAGAAAAAGTTGTAAATCACCACATTTGTAACAGTGACCTACTTCACTTGTAAGAGTTAGTGTTTAACTCTGAGTGCGAGCTATATGAGCAAATGCAATTAGCAAATTATGCAAATTCTCTGTCTGCACAATTGTCTCTTACAGTGGCCCGTATTTGGCTTCATAGCGTGCCACGACGTTCTTGCAGCGCCCAAAGTCCTTGCGTAACTCTGCCACTTCCTGCCTCAACACCGAGTTCTCTCGCTCCAGGAAGGCTGCTCGTACTGTGATCTGATTCTCTTTAAGCCGCCTGGCATCTCGTGAACGTTTGGCTGCAATATTATTCTTCTTCCTCCGCTGCCAGTATTTGTCGTCCTGAAATAGTTAGTGGACATAAAAAATGTTGTGAAAAATTTTCAATTCAAAAATTGTCAATACAAGATCTTGACCAAAAAATGTATGCACCTCTCGATGGAAATAAATGTTGTGATGTTATTTCCATCAAGAGGTGTATCCATTTTTGGATTGTAAGAGTCCATCACTCTGTAAAGTGTCCTCCAGCACATCCCAAAGACTTTCAGTTTCATGTGTGAAAGTGATTCTTCATGCTCACTCCAAACCATTTTTTCACAATTTGAGCCTGATGAATCGTGACATTGTCATCCTGGAGTATGGCCATGATATGTCTTCCTACATGGTTGTTTAAGAAATGAAAAGCTACAAACTCCATCAGAACTGTTGCCAAACATTTAACATGCCAGAAACATAATAATCACTGCAATAATGATCCAGTCATAGACCCTTATGCATTTGCCTATTTAAATCCAAACAGCGACTTTTTTTTTGGCTGTCAAGTGTATAATTACATAAGACACTCTCTAAAATAATTTTCACCAAATTAACGTTTAGGGTGTAACAGTATAATTAAGTTTTGGCCCTCAGGCACAAATACTTGCTTGGCTTTCTTGATCAGAGTTCAAGTGTAATGTTATACAATATTAAGGTAGTTTTTCGGCAATATTTTTTTTAGCATCATTGGCATACTCATAGTTTTTATTAATATTTTGAATTAGTATTTATTTTTATACTTTCTGTTCACATTTTAAGTTTAGTTAAAGTTTTAGTGTATTTACCTTCTTCTCCTCAGGCACATATACTTTCTTTGCTTTCTTGATCATAGGCTGAGGCTTCAGCTCCTCCTCGGAGAAGCGATGTTTCCGGGGATTAAACAGTTCGCCTCCGGGTATGCTGGAGAGCACAAGGTCTGTGGGATCCGGCTCGAAGTTGATCTCTACCTCAATATCATCTGGATCAATAGGCTCTGGTGTCGCACGGTCCTCATCTGTGGTGAAAAGTGAATTAGTAAATACCAACAATGAAATGAAATCTAAATCTAGTTCTGTTTTATTACTTCCAGACATTATTTGTTATTCTAATTGAATGTTTGAACATCACTTGATCATTGCTGACTCTTACAGTCAGATCATCATGAAAAACAGCTTAACCATGATTTTAGTGAGTTGTGACAGAAAGTACACTGTGTTCTGTTCTCCTTCTGCTGACCTGATTTAGTGTCTGTTGAGCTGGAGGCCGTGAATGTGACCACTTCCTCCTCACATTGATCCAGTTCCATGACTGGCATAAGAGAGATTGCTGGGGCTGTTTCGCTTGTAGAGATTGTGGTTGGTTTTTCAGTTGTCAGCTGTAAGTTTTCCTTCCCAAGACTCTTTTGCTGACCCTCATCCTCTGAGGCAGAAATGCCATTCTCCATGAGAAATTCCTCCAGATCCATGTATTCCAGGTGGAAGGTTTCGCCATCATAGGGAATGGTCTTTTCCCAGATGGCAGGTGTTAGGGCGGCTGATGGTCCCATTCCACTGACCCCTCCAGAGTCCACATCCTCAAAGAGTTTCTCTTTATCATTTTCTGCAATATCAAAATTACCGTAATAAACTAATTATGACAGACAAAATATTTTGTTCAAATCCCAGATATTACATCAGAAAGACTGGCAATCAAACACTAAACTGAAAGACTATTGAAAGACTGCAATGGGTATCTAGAACGGGCAACAAAGGTTTACCTGAGAAAATCTATTTAACAAAATGACAAAAGGTGTTGTATTGTTAATTGTATCAGTGAAACGAAAATTTTGTCATCACTTACTGACCCCCAAGTTGTTCCAAACCTGTATAAGTTTATTTATTCTATTGAACACAAAATAACATATTTTGAAGAATGTTGGTAACCACTAGACAGTTGACGGCACCCATTAACTTCCATAGTAAGAAAAAAATACTATGGCAGTCAATGGGTGCCGTCAACTGTCTGGTTACCAACATTCTTCAAAATATGTTATTTTGTGTTCAACAGAAGAAAGAAATTAATACAGATTTGGAACAACGTAAGGATGAGTAAATAATGACATTTTTGGGCGAGCTATCCCTTTAATTTCATATATCTTAGTTCAGCTTGCTATATGCAAGATTCAGCATACAAAAACAACTTTGTATAACATCTATATAATTTGCATGTACATTAAATAGTACTAAAGTGACGAATCGTTCTTTAACCAACTGAGATTGTCTAAAGAACGATTCATTTAGGAAGCGGACATCATTGGTTCCATCCAGTTTTTATGAGTTTGCAACATTAAGTGCCGCGAAGCAAGTTGTAAATAGCACAAAAACACGTTCTGTATTTACATAAAGAGGCAATGATACCTGGTCTGTCGTTGTATGAACATACAGGATGCATTTGACGATAAGAATTCTGCAATGCAGCGAGAGCAGCGACCGCGCGCCCGACTGCTGCAGACAGAGGCACTTACCACCATCATCGCCTTCCAGAAGATTCGGTGGAGGAATTTCCATGATTTTCTTTAAAACTACTGGGAAGGGAATCGGAGTATCAGTGCCCGAGTCCATCGTTACCGAAATAGGCTCCGCGTCCATTTTTACCGACGCTTCGGACAGCGCGTGAGAATAGCTTAACTTTAAAAACGACTTCAAATCCCTGGTTTAATTAAGAAAAATATTTAAATTTCTTCAATACCTTAGGTACGAGGGAGAAAAAAATTAAATCACCTCGCCAGTCGACACCTTTCTATTCACAGACTATTTCTGTGTTTGACCCGATTTTCCAGTTAGCCACAAAAGTGTTTTAATATCCACGCCCCCTCTGCAGAAAAAAAAACACTGTTTTTCGATGCGGATAGGTTGGTTGTGGCTCTGCTCTCATGATTAATTAAGTAGACGTGACGACAAAGCTGCGTGTCCGTGAAAAAAATGAAGGTTAGTTGTCTTCAAAAGCGACTCCTCATTGGTCGGCGGTCAAAACGGTTATATTTTTCACTAATGTTAGAAAAAGTGTCACGAGACCCATATGGATACAATGACGATATAGAGTATGTGCATATATGCCACATACAACTTTAAAATGACATGCCTTTCACGCTTCTGTAATTAATAGACCAATTTATTCCAAATCAATTAATTTTACAATTGACCTTCAAACGTTTACTTATAACAAGTAATAACAAAACTGTGTTAGGGATTAACATAATAATAAACAATAATATGCTTGGTCATTGCACTTAATGAGCTCATGTCTCGCGGGGGAACAGCCAGTGGGTCCTGGCACATGGCCTCGCACGTGCACTCATGACACGTTAGTGTGCAAACAGACCAATCGCAAAGCAGAATAGATACAGGAAAAATATCGCATGTCTCACGTGTACAATTAGGTTGTAATTAACTTGCCCTTCGGTTTAAGACATGTATGTGAAATACAATTTATGTTATTCGGTCATATTGCATGATCTGTTCTATATGATGTCTTGCATATAATACACTACAAAATTAACAGTGATTGCATATTTCTATTATTGCACATTTAATTAATATCTAAAAAAAATCTGTCATCGTATTTAAAATATCAGTCCCACTTTGCATGTCTCAATATATTTGACAAAATAATCGTATCGTTCTGAATATGCCTTTTCATAATTTCTCCTAGTGAAATAAAAAGTTTTTCATGTTAGGATTATATTAATGCAATTAATTGCTACACCAGTAAATGTAATCTATACAGAAACCTTTATAAAAGACAGTCTACATGCTGCCAAGATGCAATACTCATTGAATAGGATAATTTGCTAAATAAATAAATATGTAAATTGGAACAGGCCCCAACTGGGAAGAAGGAAAAACTAGGTTAAGGCATTTTTGCTATAATATTAATAGATTAATTGCAGATATCTAGACACTGTTAGTAATGAAATGCAGCCAAAAACAGATGTTAGAAAACAATTTCTCAATACACAGTATTTATAAAAGAAAAAGTTCACGTTCATAAAAAAAACCTGCATTTCTTGTTAGTGCGATAAAAAAGGAAACTCAATCAATTCACGTCATACTTTGAATCACTTGATCTACTTAATGGCTGACGTAGTATCTAATGTCACAAGTAACGTTAGAATTCTGCGGCATGACAATTACAGATTACCCTATATACATATAGTGGGAAATAAGAGTGTCCCGATTTACATGTATGCTCAATAGAGAAATTCTTACCACTGTCATCAATCGAAGGGACAGAGAAGGGGTACTCAAGCAAGGATTTGAATATCTCCGGAATTTCTGAAGACATGTCAAAACAGTATCAGTATCAACACCTGGGGAAAAAAGCTGGATGCAGACGCTTAATCAATTTATCAATAGCTTTCAGTTAATCAAACTGTCTCCGCATTAAGAGTAATATGATGCAACACTGAGAATTCAGAAACTTTTTATCGCGGTCACAAGGTCTGTAGTGTCCTAACGTTAACACGAAGTTACTTAACTAGTCCCACCCTTACAGTCTATGGTCCCACCTTAAATTGCCTTGTTTTCATAGGGTTGAACGTTTTGACCAATGAATATCGTTTCAGTCTGCCTGTTGATTCATATTCAATGCGGCGCGGTAGTTTATTGGTCATTTCAGCTGTGTGTCTTCACTCTTTGAGCCAATAGAGATCTAGATAAGTTATCTAAGGCAAAAACATCTGCGTGTCAGTGAGTGTTACGAAAGTGTGGGCAAAAATGTCTTTTGAACGGCGCTATCAGTGTCATTCACAGGGGCGTCACTAGGCCCTTTTTAGGGGGGCTTCAGCCCCCCTAAACTTCTGCCTAGCCCCCCTAAAAATGTGCGATTAATGTAGGCTACACAAATTCGTGTTCGCTTCAGTCTTGTTATAATCAGATTCAGCGCGTTCTTCATCTTCAATCCGCAGCGGCGCCGACAGAGAGCACGTCAGAAACAGAGGACAGGGTGTGTGTGTGTGTGTGTGTGTGTGTTCATGTGTGTTCATCTGAGCCTCATTGGTCTGTCACTGCTCGTCAATGTCAGAATATTTGAGATGACCAATCAAATCAAAGTAGGCAGGCTTTATGTTCACAGACGCTGCTGAGCGCGAATTTTAACAGTGCGACTCGACGCGTACGGTCAAGTGCGAGATAAGATGTAAGTAGCTAAACTTAACATTTCATATTTTACTTTTTTTAGGTCATAAATGTTAAACGAATGACAAAAAATAATCAGGCAAACTAATATAGTTTTGTCTAATTTCGCCATTTTGAACTGAAAATAGGCTGTAACGTGACTCATGTAATGTAATAATTAGTTTACAAGAAACATTAACAAAGCCGTTTTCATCATGTTAGGCACAAGATTAATAATGAATGTGTACATATTGAGGATATAATACAAATTGTAGCCTTTAGTAAATTAAAAAACCTCAGCTTTAGGAGGGGAAGAGAAAGGGATGAAGAGACTGAGAAAAAAAGGAAGAGTGATGGAGATGAGAAGAGAGCAGGTATTGACAAATAATCTGCCCACTGACATGGTTTTAAAGCTATTTCTTATCCTTTTTTGGTCTTCAAACGTCTTGAAATGCACATATCAGAGAAATAAAAAATTTGAACCCCCTACCAACCTCAAATTTAGGACCTCTGTGACTAAAGCCCTGTCTACGGCCCTGTGTTAGGCATAAGATCAATAATAAATGTGTAGCCTACATATTGTGAATGCATTTAATAAACTTAATTCCCTTTAGTAGCTTTCAGTAAATAAACGCGTCTGAGAAAATGATTCATAGGCAAAATCAACCTATCAGTTGACCCTATGTTTACTTTCTTCACTGACAGACAAAAATATAAAGCCTATATCAGTCAAAGCTCAGCTGGGCAAGATAAAAACAAAGAGAAAAAGAGTGTGATGCTGATGAGGAGAGAAAAATAATCAGCTGCCCACTATCCAAGTTTTTTGGCCTTCAGAACATCTTAAAATGCACATATGTAGATCAGAGAAATCAAAATTTTCTCGGGGAGACCCCGAACCCCCTTATTTGCCCTACCTCACATTAGGGACCACAGTTATTATAAAACCGTGCCTTTGCATCGTAATGAAAATGGTTAATAGTGATCTTTAGATCCTAAACTAAAGTGTTACATTTTTTTATTTTTAAAAAAAAAATCATATTGGGGGCTTAGCCCCCCTAAAATGAAAATCCTAGTGACGCCCCTGGTCATTCACATTACCAGCGACAGAGAGGCAGACATGTACGTCGAGTTAAAAAAAATTAAAGGTCTTCTCACTTTTTTAAAATAGCCAGTAGACTGTAGGCTAGTTATATAAATGCATTAGAGTATTGTATTCATTATGAACTGCCTATTGATGAAATGCATGTCGCATGTACATGTACATGTCCAGGTGTGTGGAATGAATATGTTTCCAGGCTAATACAAATGTCATCTTTGACCTCTATATTCTTTTGACCTACTACGACGTACCAAACAACACAGTTGTAAAAAAAAAAAAAAAAAAAGTTTAAAATAGGCCTAGTATAGTATTGCTCTTCTACTGTTCCATGAATACTGACTACCCGGGGAGATTTATACTTGTTTTGAGTTCCAGTTCTACTTGCTTGTCATAATTTTCACTCAAGTCACGTGTCTGGCGCAGAGATGTTGAAATCGCTCTTTTGGATGGGGGATGGTTGGGTCTTTCTCTCTTTTTTTACAGTCTATGGTCTCTAGAATCGTCACCAGTCACACCACCTTTCGCCCAGAGTCATATCTCTAGCCTCTATATGGCTCTGCTTTTGCCCCGTTACCAATGGCTATGATTGGCAGAGACATCATTTTGTGTGTCACAAAGATTTCTGCCTCAGTATTTGTAGATCATTTGTACACGTTTCTAAGCCTTTAATGGAAAACAAGTATTCCGTAAGTTTTAAAGGCTATATTGACAAAAACGTTCAATATATGCAAAGAGTCGATATTTAGGGAGTGGGGGTTCAATCTTCAGCTGGCTGGCAGGAGCCGCCACTGGCATGTCACGTGACCTGTCAGTGGCTGGCTGGCAGCTGCCAGTCTGATTCTGGCATGTCACGTGACCTGTCAGTGGCTGGCTAGTTGTCTGGCAGTCTGCCTTTGCCAAGTTTCAGAAACCTTTGACTTTTGGCCGTTTTTTGTGTTCCTCCCTTTCTAGCTCATTTATTATGCAACTGTTGACGGCTGACTCCATGAGCGTCGAGCAAAGCGTCAGTAAGCTGCCAGTCTGATCATGGCTCATTTGACTGGTTTAATTGGGATAACAGTCCACAAAACATCAATTATACTAAAGAATAGATGTGTGACATTATATTCATAATAAGAAAACAATTAATTACCTTGCAACGAGAGTGTCAGGCAACGCGTTATACTCGCTGATCAGTCACGACTGACTGGATGAGCGTTCAGCAAGCGTCTGTAAGCTGCCAGTCTGATCACGGCCATTTGACTGGTTATATTGGGATAACAGTCCCCAAAACATCAATCATACTAAATAACATAATCATATCAACAGATGCATAAAGGGAGGAACACAAAACACAAAAACTGTCAAAAATCAATGGTTTCTGAAACTTGCCAAAGGCAGATTGCCAGACAACTAGCCAGCCACTGACAGGTCACGTGACATGCCAGGCTCAGATTGGCAGCTGCCAGCCAGCCACTGACAGGTCACTTGACATGCCAGTGGCGGCTCCTGCCAGCCAGCTGAAGATTGAACCCCTACTGTATTTAGGTGTACTCTTCTTCATAACCTCTGCTTCTAGGCAAAATCCTGAATGATGACGATCCATTCTTGTCTTATTAGTACTCGGAGTAGATCACAATTTGTGGGCTTCTGCTTGTCCACTCGCCTTTTTGAGGATTGATAACAGGTTCTCTATGAGTTTAAGATCTGAGGTGTTTCCTGGCCACGGATCCCAAATTTTTATTGATCTCAATGCCACTTCATTATCACTCTTGCCTTGTGACATGTTGCCCCATCATGCTGGAGGATCTTGCAGGACATTTTGATACCATTCTTTATTCATGGCACTGGCAGTGTTTATGGGCAGAATTGTGAGAGCCTTCCTCAGATGAAAAGGGAGGCTCACACATGGATGGTCTCAGGATGCTTCGCTGTTGGCACGACACAGGACTCAGTAGTAGGGTTCACCTTTCCTTCTCCAGTCCGGTCAATCAATTTTCCATATGTCACAGAAAATCAGAACCGGGCTTCATCAGAGAAAATAACGTTGCACTTGTCTTCTGCTGTCCAATCCTTATACTTCCTGCAGAATTTCAGTCTGTCCCTGATGTTTTTCTTGGAGAAGTGGCTTCTTTGCTGCCCTTCTTGACACCAGATTGTTGTCCAAAAGTCTTCGCCTCGCTTTGCGTGGGATGCACTCACACATACAGCTGTCCGTACTGAACAAGTTCTGCACTGGTGGTGACATGATTCTATAGCTGACCCCTCAGGAGAAGACGGTCCTTGCTGGACACTCTGGGACGTCCTGAAGCTTCTTCACTGCAGTTGAACCTCTCTCCTTGAAGTTCTCGATGATCCAGTAAATGTTTTTTTCAGGTACAATATTCTTTGCTGCAATTTCCTTGCATGTGAGGCCATTTTGATGCAAAACAATAATGGCTGCATGTTTTCTTTATAGGTAACCATTGCTAAAATAAGAACAAAATGATTGGAAGCAGAATGATACTTCACAGTTTCCCATGTGCTGATAATATGATTAGTGAAATGTTAACTGGTCATGTTGTGCCAGGGCAAAAAAAAAAAAAAAAAAAAAACAGGGGCAAAAAACAAAACTGTTGTGTCAGGGCCAAAAAAAAAAACTCTTTTTTTTTCGCCACTTAAGTTTTTTTTGCAATTATTTAGAATTCATCTGATCACTCTGCACAATAATCTAGAAACAATGTGAATCAACACCACAACATAAGGAAGCAGCAAACTTTGCGAAACACAAAATGTATGTCACTGCCAGTGCCAATACTTTTGGCCAAGGGTGTAGAACTGGAGGACAGGCGTCAATTTTCCATCCGTTTCAAGCCACATATATTTAGATCACCTCAAGAAAAGAAGAAAAAACAATGTGTGAACAAAATGCTAGTTTTGGGCACTTGTGATACATATACAGCGGCTGCTGCTGATTTCAAATCACTAATAACAACTGGACATTCTAAAACGCTTAACATATTCTGGTGGGTTCATCTGCTTGCCTGCACATAGTATGCATCATCAATAAGGCATAAATTGAACTGTCTTACTAAGTTTGTAGTACTTAGTACAAACCTGGTAAAAATAAATGGTTGGCAAAGGAGGAAAGCCTTGTTTTGCCCTCCAGCTACATATAGGGTTGCCAACCGTTCCGTATAATACGGAATCGTTCCGTATTTGACACATAAAAGGCTTGTTCCGTATTGAACTGATACGGAACGCACTTTGTTCCGTATTTTTGAGAATCAATTCAGTGCAAATCCATGACAGACGCATAGCTTCTAATATATATGCCAGACAGACTATGATGAATGAACGAAGACCCGCTGCTATAATGGCAAATTCGGGGACTTGGCGCCCCCTTGACGGGCTGACGTGTATTGACGTAGAGTTGGCTCATTGGTCGCACGTCAGAGGCGCCCGCGCCATTGGATGTGCAGTTGCCGCAGCGCAGCCTGAGCGAGCCAGACGCTCAATGTGCAAGCTGTGCAGCTGCAAATGCATTTTACAGGCTTCAGTAAATCGAGTAAAATGTGTTTCCGAAGACATTTGTAGGCTATGATAAGAAAAAAAATGTTATTTTTTATTTTTTGCACCGGAAAGAACATTCTAGAAGTCTAATTCTATTGAATAAGTTCGCACAAGGCTACAGAAAACTGTTGTGTTTATTTTTCTTCAAATGCAGTCTAAGCCGATGAGTTTCGAATGTTATATGTTGTATTTGTTTAAGTTAAAAAATAAAACGTATTATAATCTAAACAAGTACATGGTTCATTTTTGGCAAAATGATCATGATAGCCTTTATATATCTGTGTGGTTAAGTCTTGTATATTGATTAAGCCTACTTTGCTATTCTATAAATATATAGGCCTAATAAGTTGCATTATAATATGATATAAAATGTATGAATTTCAGGGAGCATGTCACTACAGCCCCCCCCCCCCCCCCCCTGTTCCTTATTTCCATTTCAGAAAGTTGGCAACCCTAGCTACATATAAGAATGTGGCACCACATGAAACCTATGAATTAGGGAAAATGGACATCTGATTGGACAAAATATATGTAGTGCAGGATGAGTCATCAATTTTTTTAATCAATTTCCACAGAGATACTGTAAATTTTAAATGCATTTCCTAAAATACATTTTGTTATTGTTCAGTACAGTAGGATATAGATAACCTCAAAGCTAACATGTTGAAAGTCACAACTCTTAATTTTGATTCAACATTGTCTAAAAAGTAATTCGATAAAAAGCAATAACATCTCACACATTTTCTAAAACAGTCTATTTATTGTTAAACACTTTCATGAGATTTGGTCCACTGTGATCAATATATCACTTCCAACCAGGGAGAAAAAGGAGAAACAAAACAAACAAATGTAAAAATACAGTACAAAAAGAGGCATTGTTGTTTTACCTTTTCCTTTTTTCAAACTCCTGATTTTCACTGGTTATCTATGCAGGTGAAAATTAAAGCCATCCTAACAGAAAAGTCTCAACCGATATAATCCAACATTTGCTAAATCCCACATTGTCTTTTTAGGCTGAACATGGATTATGAACAACATATTTCTGGTTTACACTCAGAAAGTGTGACACACAAAGGTAGTTTTAAAGTGGGCAATCTTTCTTGGTGTCTGTCCAGAAAGCCCAGAACGTTCCAGTTCTGTGATGAAATAAACTCAAGTGGAGAATGAGGATGGTGGGTATATAACTATTACTGCAGCCTTCAGATAGTCAATGGCCAGCAGTACTAACCCTTTGATATGAATATGAATGACTGCCAACTTCATCCCGTATTAGAGCAAGAGAGAATTAACTGAGCATCTTGGTTCTCAGATTGTTCTCTCTTTCTCTCTATGGTTAAGCACACTACCTCAGCTCTACCATGATCTAGCATGATCATGTTCCTCAGAATATTTTAGATGCGAGTTACGTGCAAAACCAGACTCCATTGTCACTGAGAGAACATTTACGATACACTTCCCTCCCCTATTTCCTTAAACAAATTGTCTAAGAGTGTATATATCATTATACTGAAAGAGTAGGATTATTTGTTAAGGTATTTATAATTGTATATAAATGTATAAGGCGCTATGCAGACAAACAAATATCCATGTATGCTTTGTGTTCCGTCACAGTATAGCACTGTGAGAATCGAATCAGAAATATGGTGCAGAGGGAATTTGCTAAGGCATGTAGTTTTTAAAGATGTCTCTTTACTACAACCACTTTATAAACCCTCTTACAAGAGATCCCAAGTTTCAGAAAACAGACTAACTAAAACACACCACAAAAGCATGACACTCTATACGTTAATGGCATCGCTTGCTTTTCATTGTGTTTAGGTTGAAGAAAAAGACCGATAACTACCCTAGGATCTCAATTCCTCTATTCTGGACAGCTCACTAAGCATACATAGACATAATTCACTGTTAAGTATTATATTCATACATGGATACATATATTTAAAGTGTTATACATAGCAATTAACATATACATATATCAATAGCATATAGGAAGATAGAAGTAGTCATAATGACAATCATTATCATCACTGTCATCATCATAATAATAGCAGTAGTAATAATATGATCCCTCGGTAAAGCGTACTAGGTCACTCCAGAACGTCCCTCTCAATTTCCATACCAGCTGGAATCTGCTACCAGGCCCAAATCTGCTCCTTCATATGTCATTTAAACCCCGAAATTCAATGCAACAAGGTACACACTTGACTACGGTATATTTTTTTTTTCTCATTTCAGGGTGCTTCAATTACATTTATAGGCAGTTTAGGGCAGCAGATTATCATCTAGACCTCACAAAACAGACACTTCTGTAGTGACTCATAAGGAAAAAAAATCACTAACCATCTAATCAGCAATACATGTCATATAGCATAGCTCAATAACAAGAAGTTCTATGTAATCAATACAAGGTAAGGTTATACTTAATAAAGCTTAACTGCTAAGTTATCAATAATCATTAGTAGTATGCCAATATAGTAGATATATTTGTGTGTGTGTGTTTGTGTATATATATTTATATATATATCAAGTCCACTGAAAGTTAGGACAAGGCATACTAAGGGTAGCACTGCATGTCTTGACAGTATATTTTGAATATAACTAGGCATAGGCAGGGCAAGTAGAACTCTTTTGCCTAATTTCTTGCTAATGTGTCTCCGTTCATGCGCCTATTATGAAACATTAAACATGGAAAACGAATGAGCTACTGGTCCGCATTGAACTGTGGCGAACAGGAGTCTCCTAGATGCATGTTAATGTGTTTTATAGATTACGCACTTAAAATCCCAATCTAATAGCTCGAACGAGACAAACATGGGAGCATATTCCAACCGTCAATCAAAGAAAAGAAAAAATTAATACAAAGTGTTACAATCCAAATTGTCAGATCACTCCAGACTGCAAACAGCCCTCATGTGCATTCATTCCTACTCTTTATCAAGCACTGCCAAATTGTCACTCAGTGCAATCTGAAGGAATGAGGAAATGAATGCGTGTCAGTTCAAGATCTGTGACTGGTGTTATGCAAGCATCTACACGGGTGTTGTTGGGGTGCTTTTTACTTACTCCATAATTAATTGCCTTGGTGCATCAAATACATTTGACATCTGAACAAATCTCAAATCTCTTGTAAATGGCCACTTTTGGCTGTACATTCAAACTCTTCTACCAATATGGCAGGAACACAGGGTTAAGCACCACTTCATAAATTCAGACAAAAATTATTAATCTGCCATCTGACACCGTATACTTGACTGAAACATGAGTGGCCTTCGTGACATGTGCTTTGATTTGAGTCAGGGAGATCCATTTGGTTTTGGGTTTAAGTTTAAAAAAAGCACTGTGGGAACATCATCAACTCCTCATAAATGCGTTTAAGGAACATAAAAACTGCCCTTACTTGAGTTAAAAGTACCAGTGTGCACTCGCATACATGACACCCTACAAGCCTGTGCCAAGTGTCATGTCAGTGAGTGGGTGCATGTGTTTGATAATGAGTGAAATAGCACGTGGTGTGTGTGTGTGTATGTGGTAACAATCAGTGTGTTAATCCTACAGTCATGAGCTCTTGCCCTGAAGGGCAACAGAGCCTGGTACTTCCCAGAGTGGCACTAAAAGAGTGGGGAAGGGCTTTAGAAGCTGATATCTGAACAGGAAGACTCATCCAGACTGCCTGTAACTGCACACTTTCGGCCCAGGTCACAGATCCCCTCCACCACCAGACATCCGTCGCCCAACCTGTCAGAAAGAACATGGATAAAGGGCCATTCACACCAAGGACTGTAAATATAGCGATAAAGATATAGTTCTAAACATAAAAGCAGCAAGAAAACGGCACAGAGGAACAATATCAATGGAATTACTTTCAGAACGATTTTTTTCCAGGTGATGAACAATAAAAACATTGACAGTCAATCAGAATCCACCCTGCTTTAAAGAGCTCGAGCATTTAAAGCAGCAGACGACAAACTAAGAACAAACAGAATGATATTGTGCATTGGTGTGGACATGAATATGAGAGCTTTTTATTTACAAGCCACTTAAATCACACAAAGAAATCAATCCTCTGCGGCCACCCACCATTGACTCAGAATAGTCAGTTGGCATGGCGATCTGTTTTTCCTCTGGGGGTGGAGTCATGAGAGTGCCGTCTGCACGCCGGTTCTGATTGGTCAACGATAGCCACATCTCATACATCTGCTGCATGTCTCTCACTTGGAGTACAGAAAGATACACAGCTCAAGTTAAAACATAATAAATGAATTAAACAAACATGACTGCACCACACCCATAAAACAATTGTATTAATAACTTAAGCTCTGAATTATCTAGTTGAAGGAAGTGGATTTCTCACAGCTGTTATTTTTCATATAGGTCCATACATCCCTCTCCTCCAAACTGTGTGCAAAAGAACAGTTCCCAATATAGTGGCACTTCTTCTGTTTCATGACATGAACACACATCTGCAAGCACAAATGGATAGTCAGAGGATAGTGCATAGAGATTATGTAACAATGCTCAAATTTCTCAGTTCAGTTCAAGTCATTTTAAAATGGAAACAATGATCCAAGTCTTCAATTGTTCACTGGTAACTCTTTCAGGGTTTAAACTCTCCAGAAAAGATCAATTTAAGATTAGTGCTTCATTAAAATTGAGCTTGAAATTTAACAAAAAGTGCTGTGTGGGATGCTGAAACATGATTTCCAAACAGGGTTCCCACACCTTGGTTAGCTTCAAATTTAAGGACCTTTCAAGGACTTTCCAGGTCCAATACCCTCAAATTCAAGAACTTATTGTGGGGACACATTTGATGTGTCCAATAACAAACGTTGGGGTACCATCGTAGTAGTTTTGTGCGCGCGTGAACGTCATGGCAACGTACAACACAAAGTACCTCACGCAGGAAACACAACGTAGCGCGTAAATGTGTGTAACTAACGTGAATCAAGAAAGCTAGTGCGCATAGGCCACGAAGTGTAGGCGAAATAACACATTAGCGGACCGGATGGAATAATATGGAATTTTTTCCAGAAAATGTTTTGCACAAAATAAATTCAAGCACTTTCAAGGCCATTTATCTATGCATGTTTATTTTCAAAAACTTTCCAGGGCCTTGAATTTTTTTCTCTCAGATTCACAATTTCAAGGACCCGTGGGAACCCTGTCCAAAACATTATTTGATGACACACCCAAGATTTTACATAAATTATGATAATGAGGGCTGGGTTGAAAATTTCCAGATTTAACCGATCTTCATTTTAAATCGCAAGTGATCTTTTAGTCTATGCTGTTTTCAGTCGATGCACAAATTATCCAGTGATTGCCTGCCATCCAATAATTGTGCTATGAAAACTGAGACTTTTCATATCATAAAGTCAATTATATTAAGAAATTTAAACAATGAATGCTGTTTTAACGCTTTTTGTGGCACGACGGATCGCTGAAGCGATCAAATCTTCCACTTTGCTACTAGGCACAGCACAAAATAAACATGAATGAACATCAAAAAATAAAACGCTGCAACTTACTGAGATATATGATGTAACATGTAATCGCTCATTAGTTAACTAGAAAGAAAATTTAGCTAAATATATACATACTCTATTACATATTCTTTATATTTTTGCCTGTTAGTTTGGTCTTATTTAAAAGCACAGTAAGTTTTGCCGTTATAGGTTGAATATGTATTCAACCTGTTATCTGTCTGAACAAAATCATTACATAAAACACCATTTGTTGTTGATAGAAACTATAATAGAACAGAAAACATGGCTGCGTCCAAAATCGCATATTCAAAATAAATACCTTCTCAAAAGAATAACTAATTACTTTGCGACTGCTAAAAAAGTATGTTCAATATAGTATGAAATTCAATGTAATCCGGACATACTACATTTACCATGTTGTCATTATCATGTGACCTACCAGCGTCAGTTGCATCATTTCAATGCCATTCACAAATCCTCTCCCGTGGCCTTATGGGATAGTATGCACACTTCAGATTTCAGAATTTCGCCGGAAGCAGCAGGTCATCTGGGTACTTCTTGCCTACTCTTTTATGAGTACAGTGAATTCAAACACTTCCTTTATCAAATACTGTCTTTCGCCTACTATATAGTAGAGAAGTATGCGATTCCGGATGCAGCCTATATTTCTTAATTAACCATAGGCATTAGAACTTCCATTATCATAAATATTACATTGTATGATGTTTAACAGATCATGAGAACAGCACTGCAGCTCAGTGTCAGAACTACAACCCGCTAATCTGAAGAACCTGACATAACAGTTTCTGTTTGCTGTCAAAATTTAATCAACAAAGGACAGACTTACATCATATTGTTGGGGGTAGGTACGGGAGAAAGGAAGCGGCCGCACTACCACCCACTTTTTCTTCTCAAACGATTTCACTAGCAACACCCTGCGCTCTTTTGTCCAGCTGGGAAAAGCAACAGAAAAAGCAAAAAGCAGCATTATACCATAATTACCCCAAGAACCATCAGCAAAGATGCTGTCTACTGTGTCTAATAAAAGCAGTCACATTATAACCATTCCAGTAAACATTATAGGCACATCAATTTTTAATGAGCATGTATCGAGCATCCTGGCGGTAAGATGATGCCTTCTTGAATAAGGGAAGCTAACCTGTGCCTGGCTTTGGCAGTGCAGTACTTCAGTGACTTGTCTGGCTCATTGACCTGGCCCTCCCTCCAACACTGTCCACACACAAACTTCATCTTCAGATTCAGGCCGCGCCCTCGACCGCATCCTACTAGTCCTCCACCTCCTCCTGTGCTTCCGCCCCCAATGCAGTCTCCTCCCATCCCTCCAGAGACCACAGAACTACCACTATGAGCACTGCTGTTACTGCTGCTCCCGGTGGGCTGGTGCGGCCCGAGCATGGGCTGAAGACGAGGGTGAAGAAAGAGAGACTTATTTTGTAAACCAGACTTGAAGCAACAAAAAGCAATCAAATAAAAGGATTCGATTTCAGAAATGATGACCGTTTGTGAGACAGCACAGTGGTGTTTTTGTCAAAGCCTCACCTTCTGTCTCTGAGAATTTTGTTCCAATCGGTGCCAGTGTCTCTTTGACTCCTGCACCATTTCCTCATGGGTAATACCTGACGGGTAAGAAATAAGCACAAACAAAAACTCATTTTATTATTATTATTCATATTATTTTTACTATCAGCTTTCAACTGTCTGAGTAAAAGACAGTGATAAAACCAGGGTGTAGGGCAAAAACAGAAACGAAAATTAAATTACAGTAATGCCCCTACACTACAAAAAGTTGGGGTTTGGTAAGATCTTTTCAAGGTTTTGAAAAGTATCATATGATCATGAAGACAGCATTTATTTGTTTAATAATACAGTAAAATCAGTAATGTTGTAAAATATTGTTACAATAATAAAAAAAAATGTTTTCAGCTTTAATTTATTTGAAAATCTATTTATTCCTGTGATGGCAAAGCTGAATTTTCAACAGGCAAAATACATTTCTTATTATTGGAAACTTTTGACTTTTTTTCAGGATTTTTAAACAAAGTTCAAAAGAACACCATTTAGTCTTTTGTAAATTACAAATTTACTGTCACTTTTGATCAATTGAATGCATCCTTGCTGAATAAAAGTATTAATTTCTTTAAAAAAAAAAAAACGAACTCACCCTAAATTTTCGTGTAAAATGGTGCAATTTAAAGGGGTCATATATGATGCTATTTTTTTTGGGTGTAATAGAACAGGTTAACACGCTTCAATGCTCAAAAAACATTATTTTTCACATTGTGTAAATTATTGCAGCTCCTCTATTCCTAGTCTTTCTGAACGCACTGAATTCTGCAAAGCCCCTCCTTCCGAAAAGCTCAGAGTGCGCTGATTGGCCAGCTGACCCAGTGCGTTGTGATTGGCCAAACACCTCAAGCGTGTCTGAAATGACCTTACCATGACGGCCCTTACCATAATCACAAGCTTCAGCTTTCAAAGCTTTAAGTAATTGTAAACAACACACAGTTAATTATGTCGATGTTTTAAATGTATCAGTTCAAGCTCAATTCTGAAAATGCGGATGATCAAGCCCATCAATCGGAATCAACGTTGCAAGCACAACTTGAGCAGAACGTTTTCACACTGGTAAGTAGTCTTTGTATATAGCCGGTTTCATACTCTCCCAAGTTCAGGAAGCTGTCTTTAAAATATGTGATGTGCACAAGCAAACTTTTGGGTTGTACTACTCAGGAACAGCGTTATAAATCAATCTTAAAGGGATAGTTCACCCCAAAATGAAAATTCTGTCAGTAATTACTCACCCTCATGTTGTTCCAACCCCGTAAGACTTTCGTTCATCTTCGGAACACAAATTAAGATATTTTTGATTAAATCTGAGAGCTGGATCATTCCTCCATCGGCTTCTAAGGGATCGAAACTTGCCGGCACAGAAAAGTTAAAGACATCGTTAAAATAGTCCAAGTGACTACAGTGGCTCAACCTTAAGTTTATCAAGCGACGAGAATACTTTTTGTGCGCAAAAAACAAACAAAAATAACAACTTTATTCAACTATTCATTTCCTTCTCTGTGGGCCTCGAGATAGTTCACGTAGTGGAACTGCGCAGTGCTTCTAGGTTGTACGTCACACGCATCACACACGACCAGCGTCGGCCAATAGTGAGCCTACGTGTGACGTACAACACAGAAGCGTTGCGCAGTTTCACTACGTGAACTATCTCGAGGCCCACAGAGAAGGAAATGAATAGTTGAATAAAGTTGTTATTTTTGTTTGTTTTTTTGCGCACAAAAAGAATTCTCGTCACTTGATAAACTTAAGATTGAGCCACTGTAGTCACTCGGACTATTTTAACGATGTCTTTAACTTCTCTGGGCCGGCAAGTTTCGATCCCTTAGAAGCCTATGGAGGAGTGATCCAGCTCTCAGATTTAATCAAAAATATCTTAATTTGTAGGGCTGTCAACTTTAGTCGTTTAGTCGACTAATCGGTCGATGCCGTCTTGGTCGACTAACATTCTTATTGGTCGACCAGTCGCATTTTTTATTTTTTTTTACCAATAGAAAGAAATTTTCAATGATTTACTCCTTGATATTTATTCCTTTATAAGCCGTTATATATTACTGTATTCTAAATATAATTAGCCTATGGTTTATCCCCAACTTTAAATGCTTTAATTTAGGCTATTTTGTAACAGCGCCACAGTTTAGCGCACACACATAGAACACTCGCACCTGTGGCTGGCTGCGCTGCTGCTTCGTGCTCAGTAAGGGATATAGGTAGTTTAGCTGTATTCATTCAGTTAGAACGCTACTTGTTTCGGTTTTTATACACTATATGTTTTTTATCTCGATGGGGCGTGGACGCACTTGGAAAAAAAGAGCACGTCGCACCGCGACCACGTTGCTTCCATCATGAGCGCGCACACACGCGCCTACATTTGAAATCGAACTTGAGCGCGCAAAACACGTGAGCAGTCCCTTTAACGGCTTTATCATGCGGACTCAATAGATTGTGTTTTCTTGATATGTTTTTGTTTTTATTTGTACACTTGACGCATTTGAAAATAGCCTAAATAATGTAACAAAACGAAAATAAACCTATATCCGGTCCTACAATACAGCCTATTATTATTAGGATTGTTTTTTAGGCTCTTTGGGTTTTTTTGTGTGTTTGTTTTAAAACTCCTAGATCGGCTGGACAAAAGTTAACCCATAGCTTTGAAAGTAAAGAAGAATATACAGCCTGTATAAACGAGAGCTTTTGTTAGGATTTTTCATTGTGGCAGTTATATTTTTTGTAGCGTGTGGTGTGGTCAGGTGCGCGATTGTGACTGTTACTATAGACAGTGCTCCTCACTTTTTGCAGTTAAAAAAAATCACTTAATTTTCAAATAATTGTATTATTATTATAGTTTTATGTATTTTTGATGTTTTTTCGTTGTTGTTTTATAAATGCTCTGACAATTGTTAAAAAATGTTCAATCAAAACATTGCGTTTTTTTTTTTTAGTCGACTAATCGTTGCGCAGGACAAGACTTTGGTCGACTAAGGATTTCTTTGGTTGAATACAGCCCTAAATTTGTGTTCCGAAGATGAACGAAAGTCTTACGGGGTTGGAACAACATGAGGGTAAGTAATTACTGACAGAATTTTCATTTTGGGGTGAACTATCCCTTTAACCACTGATACCTAACAAAGGGGTTTTGCTTTTGCATCCAAACTTTTTTGGGCTTCAAAATCTCATCCTCCATTCACTGCCATTATAAAGCTTGTAAGAGACAGGACATTTTTTAATAGAACTCCAATTATATTCGTCTGAAATAAGAAAGTCATATACACCTAGGAAGGCTTAAGGGTGAGTAAATCATGGGGTAATTTAAATTTTTTGGTGAACTATCCCATTAATAAGGCAAAAACAGAAGACCGCAGTCTGCATGCATAAAAATATTATTATAGCATGTCTTATGTACCTGTGTCCTGCTGAAGCACCCAACACTTGAGTTCTATGACTGAATGTGCAAAGGAGCAACTGTCCTCCCGCTGGCAGCCATATCGCACCTCATGGCGGCACACGTCAAACTGGCAGAGTGGGTGAAGAGGGCGTACTTTACTGTAGCGCACGTTTGCTGAGCGAACCACATGCACCAGGCACCTGTCCGGCATTATAAGAGACAAACGTATGAGAAGAGATATAATGCGATGGATCACTAATATGATGTTGTGGCACCTAAGTGACCAAGTCTCAATACAGCGATGGATAAAAAGACAGAAGTCGGGAGGCGATGACTCACTTGTTATCATCAAAGGGATGTCGTGCAGTGAGGTTGGAACACACAGCGAGATTCTCTTTGCTTCGCTTGCTAATGATACGAGGCTTACTGTCAAAACATTCCTACAGAAAAGCAGGGGCCAGAACAACAACTTAGCATTTCTGAACAAGAATGTAACATTTCTAGGTGTGAGAAAAGTATTAAACGAAGGCGCACATTACCTCACAGAGGAACATAAACATGCCCATATGGAGCTGAAGGAGACGGGTGACACTTAGGGCCCGTCGTTCATTGGTGCCCAGAGGGTCAAATAGAAGCTCACGACTTAGAGCTCCCTTCCTCTCTTGGGTCCACACATCTATCTCCTCCTGGCAATAGGCAAAAGTGCAGTTTTCACCATATTGGCACTCCTGACGCTCCTGTACTTCTGCAAAGACAGAATGATGACAAAAAACGAAATCATTTAATCACTGGATATCAGAATCATTAATTATAAATCATATCATAATGTATATATTTTTATAAAACATTATTAATTTAAAAAAGTTACCTTTTTTTTTTTTTTTATGGGAAGAAAAAAAATCTGACAAAACTGATAACAAAACCAATGCTGACATTGGCCACTACCATTATAGTATATTGTTCACCCCTAACTGAAACATCCATCCAATACACAGACTTTAGTAAATAGAGCCATACCTTTACAGAGAACAAACGCCCCAAGAAAGTTATTACGAGCTGGACGGGGTCGCACCCTTTTCCAGGTGGTGTCGTCAGAGGATTTGAGGCGACAGAGCAGCACATCTCTCTTGCAACGATGCGCTGCATCAGGCTGATAATGGTAGTCCATGACCCGAGGCCCTAATTAAGAGAGAAAGAAAAAAATCCACCTCTTTCAGACAGGTATAACATGTTTAGGAATAGTTCTGATATGTACCTTTATTTCATATCACACATTAAGGGACACAGTACCTATGCGACTGTAGCAAGCATTACAGGCCTGTCTGAACTCATGTGTGGCAGCCAAAGGGTTCCGTGACAGCAGAGAAAGATTGGTACCGACTGGGCCATTCTGCAAACAAGAAAGGACAATTTTCTGACAAGGTGATTTCAAACCATTATGGGGAAAATTTGGTGTTATATCAACCAAATTTCTGAAACTTCCCCAGTTAAAATCTTTTATTTTGTTAATATTTTTCTGGAAAAAAGCCAACATATTAGATGTCATGGATGTATATTTACAGAGTATTCCACTATTTTTCACCTGAGATTTGGAGCCAAATTACAGGGGGGCAAAAATGACTTCAGAAAGATGGAAGCATCATTATTATATATTGACTTTAGCAATCTTTGTTGCATTATATGCCAACGGGGACAGTTCAAAAATGTCAAAAAGCACTTTTAGTGTTTTTGCCCCAAATTTGCATGCCTGTAACTCTAAAAGTATTAAAGATATCTTAATATCCTTTTATATTTTTGTTTTTAACCCTTTAAGTGTCAACTTCAATTTGAACATGGAGCTGCTTTGAGATCCCCATATCTCTGGGATTGAACCATATAGGTTTTTGAAAATGAAGATTACAAAAGAAAGGTTAAAAACCAGAATCTAAAACCATATTAAGATATCTTTAATACTTTTTAAGTGACAGGGACACTTTGGAAAAACAATAGTCATGGCATTCAGACAGGTATCTTCTATGCAATTGTGTTGATAGAAAAAAAACTATACATTTCTAGTTTCAACATGAACAACATTGTTGTTCAGATATTCCTCTTTAAAAGAAAAAAAGATCAACTTTATGCAAAGTGACCCACATTTGGTTTTTGACCACTAAATATGTGTACAATTGACCATTTACTCATGGAGCTGCATTAATACCCCCATATCTCTGGGATTGAACCGTATAGGGCTTTTAAAATGAAGATTCCAAAAGAAATGTTTGTTAAGAACCAAAATCTAAAAGGATATTGATGCATCTTTAATAATTCTTGAGTTACAGGCATAGAAATTTGGGGCAAAAAACACAAGTAGTGCTTTTTACCATTTTTGAACTGTCACTGTTGCCATATAATGCAACAAAGATGGCTAAAGTCAACATATTTAACTAATAGACCTATTAGGCATTGTTGAAATAAAACCATGATGCTGCCATCTTTGTAAAGTAATTTTTACCCCCTGTAATTTGGCTCCAAATCTCAGGTGAAAATTGTCATTTTGACCCCCCTCTACAAAATAGTGAATTACTCAGTAAAAATACATCCATGAAATTTAATATTTGGGCTTTCTTCATTTATGCATTTCTTTCACCAGACAAAAAATTATCAAAATCAAAATTTTTAGCTGGGACCTCTGATTTAAATAATGGAATGACCCTATGAACATTTAAAGAACTTTACTACGTTGAAGTTTTCATGAGTAAGACTGAAGAACAAAACAGTTAAGACTCACTGCATTGGCGGCATGATGATTACGCAAACTGGGGATGAAACTGTGAGAGATTCGTCCACCTAAGATTTGTAAGGAAAGGAAAATAATTAATATCAAATTATTATAATGTGAAGACATTTTCTCCATTTTTTAAATACAGGTACACTAACGTTCAAAAGTTTAGCGTCAGTAAAAAAATGTTTTTGTGTTTTTGAAAGAAGTCTCATGATCACCAAGGCTGCATTCATTTGATCAAATACAGTAAACACAGTAACATTTGTCAGAGCCATTAACCTTGTGAGCAGCGCTCTGACATGTAGCGCGGTTACGCTTCGGGTAACCCGAGTTTGAGTCCCGGCTCGGGTAACTTTTCCGATCCTGTCCCATCTCTCTCTCTCCCACTTTGCTTCCTTTCAGTTTTCTATGCTATTCTACCTCATAGGCAAAAATGTCTCACACACAAAAAAATACAGCAATATTGTGATAAATGATTACAATGTAAAATATATGTTTTCCAAATAAATACATATTACAAAGTGTAATATATTCCTGTGATGGCAAAACATCACAAACCTTTTTGTTAAGAAAAAAATCTTATTATATATGCTGATTACAGATGTGCTGATTAATATATATATATATATATATATATATATATATATATATATATGGAACCAAGAAACTTATTTTTTTCAGGATTCTTTGATGAATAAAAAGCATTTATTAAAAATGAAAATATTTTGTAGTGTTATACATGCCTTTACTATCACTTTTGATAAAGTTAATGCATCCTTGCTGAATAAAAGTATGAATTTCTTTCCAGACTTTTGAACGCTAGTAACACACCAAGTCAGTTAAAACCCTTACCAGGAAGTGTGTACTCAGAGAGGGAATCCAGTCCTCCTGTGCTCAGTGATCCAGACCCGCCCTTCCCTGCAGTGTCTCGGGCTCCAGAGCTAAAGGAGCCAAGGGAGTCCATCGTCTGGGAAGAGGCTTCGCTTTGACCCAGCACTGAGAAAGGCTCCAGTGGGGGGAGCGGACTGACAGCAGTGTTGAAAAATGGAGTTGTGAGCTGAGCCGAGGAAGTTGAGAGACCCGGAGAGTATGGGGGCCTCAAACCCACAGCAGTGTTTGGTAGGTTAGTGGGAATTGCCCCCTGAACTGGGTTCTGATGGAGAGACAAGTAAATATTAAGTCCTTTTACAGTGATCAATCCAGTATTGAGTGACAATGTCCAACTGTCCCTCCCTGCAGCTCTCCATTACACTCACCACGCTGACCTCAGCTCCTTTGGGAATACTTTCCAGCAATGTGTCCAGACACGAGGTGTCCTCATTCATCACACATTCACCCATGTGTTCAGATACAGGCACAGAGTATGGCACCCGCCCCGACGGCTCCTGGCTTGGGCTTTCTGGCATGTCTTGGGGCAAAACTGGGTTCTGTGAGGGAATCTGTGGGTCATCACTGACTGGGATTGGTGTGGCCAGAGGGGCAGGGATGCATTGGGCACTTGTTAAGTCTGTGGGATAAACAGATGAATAAACTGACTCACCTTATATATGCTTAATGATTATACTCATAAAGTAATATATTTTAATCAAAATATTAAATGCTATAGGGACATTCCATGACAAATCAACCAGATTTCAGAAACTTCCCCGGCTCAAATTTTTGTTTTTGTTAATATTTTTCTGGAAGAAAGACAAACATAAATAGTGATTAGAACCAAAATATTACATGTCATGATGTGTATCTACGAAGTAATCCACTATTTTGTAGAGGGGGGTCAAAATGACAATTTTTACCTGAGATTTGGAGCCCGATTACAGGGGGTAAAAATTACTTTAGGAAGATGGCAGCATCATGGTTTTATTTTTACACTGAGATTGGTAGATATATTAGTAAAATTTGTTGACTTTAGCCATCTTTGTTGCATTATATGCCAAACAGTGAAAGTTCAAAAATGGGGAAAAAAAGTACTTCTTGTGTTTTTTTGCACAAAGTTTGCATGCCTAGTGTAACTCAAGAATTATTAAAGATCTCTTAATATCCTTTTAGATTCCTGTTCTAAATTAACTTTACTTTTGATATCTTATTTTTTAAGACCCTACATGGTTCATTTCCAAAGATATGGGGATTTCCACGTGGCTCCATGAGTAAAATTGTACACATTTTCAGTGGTCAAAAACCGAATGTGGATCACATTCCATTACCGTTGATACTTTTTAGTACTTTCAAAGAGGAATATCTGAAGAACAAATCATGTTGAAACTAGAAATGCATCTTGTTTTTTCTATCAACAGAAAGAAAAATAAATCAAAATCATCAGCTGGGGACCTCTGGTTGAGTTGACATGGAATGACCATATATGTATGTATGTATGTGATATATAAAAAATACCTGATCCAATATCAGTCAAAGACTCAAGACCATTTGAGGAGGTCTGAAAAGAAAGAGCAAGAAGGTGTTAATTTAATCCAAACCATGCAATTCTCGTTTTACAAACTAGCTTTTATTTTATAAACCAATTTTATACTACTTTTAATTAGTTTATTGACCAAAATAGGGAAAGTCTGTTTGTTTTTTTAAAACTTGCCTCCCCTGTATGAGAATTAGTTTCTCCATTGCTGTCTGCCCCAGATGTTGTAGAATCAAGCTGAAATAAAAAGTATCATGTTAGGACAAGTATAATTATATAATTAGCAAATGATCAACATTTTAAACATTCATCATTTAATCTAAAAGACAAACCTGAGGGCTGACGTAGGCTTTGCGGATTTTCAAACCAAGTTTGTTAGCTAGATCCTGAGCAAGCTCACTGACTTGCCTGTCCTGTGTAAAATAAAGCAAGCAAACAATGTTTCAAACTACATATATTATTACATAGAATTACATAGACTAATATTCAAAAGTTTGGGGTCAGTAAGACTTTTGAGAAAAGTATCTTATGCTCAGTAAGGCTGCATTTATTTGATCAGAAATACAGTAGAAACAGCTAAATTAACAGTTAACCAGTAAAGGTAAAATATTATCATTTAAAATAACTTTTCAATTTTTATTCCTGTGAAGACAAAGCTGAATTTTCAGCCATTAGTCCAGTCTCCAGTAGCTATGTTTCCATCCACTACTTTAATATGAATTCTAAAAACATGCGCAGAAACTATGATGAAAACATATTTACCAAAACCTTGACGTCCATCAAAAAAAGTCACCAATCTCGCTGCACGGCATCTAAAATGTTCCTTTGGTCATTCTGAAATGCCTTAGCCAAAGTCTGTTTGTCAAAGTGGTTCGGTATAATTACCTCCCAGAACTTACACGACTTCGTTCCCAAACAGCAGGCATCCTCCTCCGAAAGTGCGCTCTGAGGCGCAAGTATTTTACTTTATAAAAAAAGACCCTTCAGTGGCTAAAAGTTCTATAGCATTTATTTGAAATAGAAATATTATGTAACATTCTAAACATCTTTACTGTCACGGTTGATCAATTTAACGCATCCTTGCTGAATATAAGTGTTTTATTTAATTTTTTTATTCTGACCCCAAACTTTTACATGGTAGTGTATAAAAATATAAACTGCAGATTAATGTTCCATTGCTTCTGCATATGAATACATACGTGAGGGGCAGTTAATAGGCATCCAGTGCCACACTCATAAGCCTCTCTGAGTCGGCCCAGCTCCCTCAGACAAAGAGCCTTCCTGTAGAGTGCTCTGCGACTGCCCTCCGACACACACAGTGCGCTATCACAGTCCTGCACTCCACGCTCGTACTCCCCCTAAACATAAAAGACAAGAGAAGTTTGATTTGCAGAAAATGACTTTGCAACACTTACTGTTGGAGTACTACATGATAATTTGCACATACTGAATTCCTTCAAATCCTCAGTTTACAATGACAGATTTAAATGTCAACCAAATGTCCAATCAAAATAGTATAGACTTACAAGACTATAATGTGCAGCTGCCCGGTTCACATAAAGGCTCTCTAACAGCTCAGGGGGAATGACCAGTGCTTCAGACTGAGCATAGCGAGCTACATTCACACCCTCGCCGTAATGGACTGCTGCCTGTCTCCACTCTCCATCACGATACACTGCATTACCTTCATCCAGCAAATTACATACTAGCTGAGTCAGGAATGCCTGCAGAAGAAAGGAAGAGACTTTCCATTTAAATTAAGATCATAAAATTCAATAAACATGGATTATCTAGGTGGGGTGTTTTTTCCCCCCAGAGATATTACACATAAATCATACCTCATATCCTTCAGGTTCTGGGAAAGGCAAAGATGACCTGTGAGAAGTAGAGAAATACATTTAGCAATTTTGGAATGATAAAAATCCACAGAGCAGATTGGAAAAGCAGCACAGAAATCTACAAACTTACTGAATGAATCCCAAAGCTTTCTGTATTTCTTCCTTACGCTTCTGTCGATCTGGATCCATAGCTGTAATCCATCACAAACAGAACAAATAACCATTATGAGAAAGAAAAAAACAACTTATGATATAACAAAATAAACACACGGTTTGTAGGGGCAAAACATACAACTACGATGTGCTTTTATAAAGCCCAAAAAACACAAAATGTTACGTGAAAACATTTCAGTTTTGTGTGTTTTCATTATTCTAACTAGTAAGTGAATAATATTGGCGTGAAAAAAAATGTAGTGGCAGTAATTAGTCACAAAAAGACTAAAGATTACAAATATTAACATTTAATAACGCACAATGATGGCAACTAAAACATAATTATAAGCATAAACAGTGAGTATTACATAAATATAATGTCTAAGGCCTAAAATGTGAGATCAGCAAGTGAGAGCACATCCCCGAGCTCGCCTTAGAATAACACCCACTAATGCAACTCTCTCCGAAATCAAAAACAACTAACAGCAATCCTTCCGCGATACTTGAAACACTCCTCAATATAATGTAGGTTATATACATTTTTACAGACTTAACCTCTAAAGGAACTGCCAGTGCAACACACTAATGATAAAGTTAACGTGCAAAGGCTTCGGGTTAACATTAGCTTTAATGCTAGCTTGCACTCGGCTAGCCCGCTAATGCTGTCAACTTCAGGTTTGTTTACACCAATTAATATCAATGACTAGTTTTATATGCCGGCACAAAACAGTCCCAACAAACATCTAAAACATATTTCTAGAGTTTAATATTTTGTAATTAAATTCTAACTGACATTTTCAGCGCCGTGTAGTATAAAAATCTATTTAAAATTCTCCTGGTAACGTTAGCCAATTAGCAAGCTACGTTTCGCGAACTGCTGCAGCGAGGTAGCGTTTAAAGAATTATTTACCTTAATAATAATAATAATTTTAAAACACCATAAGATAAAATACTAAATAGATTATAAAAATATAAAATAAAAGTTGGTCACCATTTCAAAAATCAGCTAACGTTAAGTAGCACGCTAAAACAGAGGCTTGCTGGGAGGACATTAAACCCACCTAAGACTTTAGATCTTCTCCTCAACAAGGAACTGTTTGTTAAAGCAATAAATCCTTTGAAATGCCAGGTAAAACGTTTTGATTTTTTATTCCTTCAAAATCATACTTTTAATTTATTCGCCTGTCCCAAATCAACGGACAGAGCATGTGCGCCTTCAGTTGCGCTCAAGTTGAACTAAACCGTCCAGACTGTGAGGTCCTAAAGGCAGAGAGATGGATCTTTTTTGTTTAAAGTTCGCCACTGGGGGCGTCTGTGACTTTCTTTACAAAACTTGACAAAATTTTAATAAAGTCAAACCTAAAGCTCCATTTTGCTCTTATAAAAAATAACAATAATAAATAAATAAAAACCTGTCTATTGTCTACCTGTGTTGACAGTTATTTTAAATCAGGCACATCTGTCAGTGTCTCGGTTGGAAATCGTTTGTTTATATAGATGTCATAGCAATATAAAGAAATACTTTTATAAAGGTCAATGCAACCACATGGCTCTAAATATGCATTTTCATGTACTTTACAAGGGACCAGTGAGTAATATCACAGGAATATTTATTATTATTATAGCTTACTGGAAAGGCTTCTCAAGAATGTTCATTATGTACTAAATCATAGAAGTGGTCAAATTATTATGCATTGGTGTTTTTCGAAAATGTGTCCCTAAAATGTCATATTAAGTTGTAGATTTTTTTGGAAAGGTACTTTTAACTTGTAAAATTGAGCTTCCGGCGTTGCTAGGCTGCCCCGGAATTAGCCTTTTGTTTACACATGTCTTTGGCTTTAAGGGATATCGTTGAAACAATCGTGAGGAGAAACTAAAGCAGCAGTGTAAGCCTTTTACGTTATACATACATTTATTTTCCAAAAGCAGTTGCGCTCAATTTGTATTGAATAATATGTATTTATAATTAGCTGCTTGCCTGTTAACTTACTTGTTGCTGACAGTAAATAGTCTCTCGAAGATAACGGTAGTCTCTCCCCTTATTATCCGAGTCATTTATTTTGATATCAAGATATTATTGTATATCTGTTATTAGAGCCGGATCTGGACACTGTGTGATGGCTACAGCGATTAATGCTAAAAAGAAAAAAAAAGAAAAAAAGAAACTTGCAAAAAAACATCTACTGAAATATGTTTTGTGTTGATGCAGGTTGGACTTTTACTTCAAAATGCCCTTGTTTGGCAATACTTTCAGTCCCAAGAAAACCCCTCCTAGGAAGTCTGCTTCCCTTTCCAATCTACATACAGTAAGTACAAGTTTATGTCGGTAAGATGCATTTCACAAAACTAATATATGTATAAACAAATCATTTATGTTTTTGTCAGTTGGATCGGTCAACACGGGAGATTGAACTAGGTCTGGAATATGGATACCCGATGATGAATCTTGGCAGCCAGAACTTTAAATTTGAAGATGGCCAGTGGATCTCAGGTATGGCTTCCTACAATAAACAGACCGATTTAATTCAATGCCAGTTAGTAGCCTGTTTAAAGAATGTAATGAATGTCTTTATGTCAATCACAGAGTCAGGAGGTAATGTATCAGGAAAAGAGGTACAGCGACTGAAGAAGAGGAATCTACAGTTAGAGGAGGAGAATAATCTGCTCAGGCTAAAGATTGAGGTTCTTCTTGACATGGTGAGTGTTGAATGATTATAATGCTGAAAGCCACCACAGCTTGAAAAATATGAAGCTAAATCTAAATAATAAAAATGATATGTGTTGGCAAAATTCTCTCGCACAAAGTGATTTTACATATTTTCTTTAGCTTTCGGAATCAACCGCAGAAACACATCTAATACAGAAGGAACTTGAACATGTGAGTAGAAGAAAGAAATGATGGAAGGAAATAAAGGGGATTATCTCTTCTTTTTAAGTGTGTGTATACAATGAATTCCCAATGAAATTAGAAGAACTATTCTAAGACAATGTTTAAATATAAGTTTCATTTACACAATTGATTACTTATCACACTTTGTATATTTCCTTTTTTACATTTGCTGTTCCAATGCCAATTATATGACTGAACAAAAATATTTAGGTTAATATTTCATTTTTTTTTGTGCATTTCTTACATTTTACCCTTAAAAATCTATATTGTGTTTTAAAGAAAACTACCATTGTGATAGAAACATGCTGTTGAATTCAACAAAATTATTTCAGATTACATAAAAAGCAGCTAAAGGTCGCTCATTATGTTTAGAATACAATAACTTGAGATTCTTATAGCCAGTTATTCCAAATCTTCATTCCTGTGGCTCCAGTAAGCGCTCTTACATGACAGTCCCAAAACCTTTCTGCATGTGTAGATCTAAATGTGTTTTCAAATCACAGGAAACAATCACACTCTTTCTTTGGTTCCACAGTAAGATTAGCCAAGAGCTGTAAAGGTTTTAACGTGTACATGCAGATTTAAGAGGATTTTCTTATGTGTGAGGCACGTATTGCACGGCTAAGGTTGTTTTTTCTTTTCTTTTCTCTTGTCTTTTCTTTTTACATAATTAATAAATTGCCATGAATAAATCTTGTACTGATTTTATGCCGCAGTGTTAATTCCAAATAGTGCATTATTTCCTTGTTTTTCTTTTATTTAATTGGACTTCTTTAAAGTGGATCTCGTCGAAACAAACATTTCCAAACCAAAAAAAGAACACTTGCTATTGTATCGCATTTAGTTTTCACTACATAACTAAACTACTTACATTGATGTATTGACTCTGTGTTGTTTTTAGGATGAAAATGTCAACAAGTAAATAACCAAACAAGAGTGCTGTAATACCACTTGTGCTGTCCAGTAATTTCACCTCATTTCCTACAAATAAGAGACTTTGTGGGTATTACAGATTAATAGTTTGAAGTTTGAGAAAAGGAAGGAGGTGCACCAGAAGGTTTATTTAACAGATTATCCTTTAAATTCATTCATATGTACAGTGCAGTCTCGATAACATAAGACAACGTAACTTATGTATTCACATAAACATTATGTTTATTAAGAAGGCCAGGTATACAGCTACTTGAAGAGATTGTCTGCCGTATCAAAAGCCAGGTAAGACATTGTTTTGTGTTTCGAGTGACTTAAAGACAATCAAATAATTGTTCTCAAGCTGATATTTTATACATCTCTATAAAGATTTTTAATCTTCCAGGTAATTGAGGGGCATCTGAATTCCACTTTCCCTTATGACTACTCATTCTAGTGGTTTCATTAATTGCGGTATACAAATGTTACATTAAGATTCTGTGCGGTTACACAAAACTGTCTAGTTGTAAAACTTTTGCATGCCTACATTTTTTTTCTCTAAATTTAGAGATTCTGCAAAACACTGTAGTGTTAAGGCCCGTTCACTCCAATAAGGATAACTGTAATGATATATTCTACACGCTTGCTTGTCGGTCACTTTAAATGCTCGAGCTCGTTATAGCAGGATGGACTTTGATTGGCTGTTTTCATCATTCATCCGTTGGATAACATCGTTCTGAAAGTGATTCCGACTATACGTTTATCTGTGCCGTTATCGTTATAGCTGTGGTGTGAACTCTGCTATTCTTTAATATTGAGAACAATATAGAACTATAGGCTATCTTTATAGTTATAACTTATCGTCCGTGGTGTGAATGGGCCTTTATAGTATAAAGAATATTATAGTATATTGACATCCATGTCTAGATTCACATTTAAAACAGTAAAGAGGAATTGTAGTAATGAAAAGATTTAAAACAGGCATTTTAAAAGTCTGTCCCAATTGGAATCTTTCAGACTTTCTGTTTATGTCAAAATCCAGACATTCTGAATCAGATCATATAATGTCAATGCACAAAAGTGGTGTAAAAAAGACATTATTAAAGGAAACAAATATATCCACACCCTGAATGTGTTTCCTCCTCATTGTACAAATAATGCATCCTGTTAAAATATTCATGTTATACTTTATAATCTGAGGTGTAACCAGAGACTTGGCATTTGAGAGCAGAAATGATTCAATCAATTGTAACAGAAATCAATGGGGAAAAACGTATATAGATACTTGATAAGAATTAGTAAATATGATACATTACACGTAACTGCAGTATGTCAGTCACTTAATGAGTAGGTCGGCCTATGACTCTACTTCCGGGGGGTGAAGGGAAATGTGTGGCTTGTACTTCTATACTTACTTCCTTTGTGTAATGTGGCGCAGGTGAACCAGCACATGTTCAGTAGTGCATCGACTGCGTAGCTTCCTTCTGAAAAAGTGTTTTGATTCTACAGATAATATAAGCATATCCAAAAAGTTTTGTCTTCTCTTTTGGAGGCCTGAGCCACTATGGGAATTATTGTAGATGAGAGAGAGACAGAAGGTGCCCCGGATGGCGGCTGGGGCTGGATTGTTCTGCTGGGAGGTTTTGTCATCACTGGCTTCTCGTATGCCTTCCCAAAAGCTATAAGTGTTTATTTCAAAGAACTTATGCAAGAATTTAAGTGTGGATACAGTGACACTGCCTGGATTTCTTCTATAATATTAGCAATGCTCTATGGTTCAGGTAAGATCATGTACATTGAAAGTTGTCAGATTTATAAAAACTTTAAGATTTTTATAAAAGTCTTTTTTTTTTCTTAATGGTCAATATATTTATTTTCATTTAATCCAGGTCCAGTCTGTAGCATTATGGTTAATACATTTGGATGCCGGCCAGTCATGTTGGTTGGAGGATTACTGGCGTCAGGAGGGATGATAAGTGCATCTTTCACTAATAACATTATACAGCTTTACCTCACTGCAGGTGTCATCACAGGTAACTAATAGATATTTGTGATAAATAACTTATGATTCTAAAGACAGTTAGTTCTGGTACTCTGTGGGGAGTTTTCAGTGACTCTTTCAACATTTTACATAGTTACGCCAGTGTCTAAATGTGTCTTTATGAGTGAGTTATTGAATCGTTCATTCAACCTATTCGTTCATATACATTGATTAATTCATGACCAAAACATCATCTGTGTGTTGCTTGGTGGTTGATTCTGTTTTGATTCATTTGGACTGTTTTCTTTGGTGAAGCAAAAAGTAGTAACTGGTAATGTGTCTTGTTGTAAAATGTAAATTATTCAGCATTGACCTATTTTTTTTTTTTAAATGTGAATATCAGCACAGGCAATATTGCTTAAAGGGATATTTCACCCAAAAATGAAAATTCTGTCATTATTTGATCACCCTCATTCCAAACCTGAATGACTTTCTTTCTTTTGCAGGTATGATATTTATAACATTTTGATTTAAAAAAAAAAAAGAAGTTAATATTAGAGACATATTTAAGGACATATTTACCAACATAAATAGTTCCAAAGAAAGTCAAAGCAAAATCCTACATTGGGTGTATTGATATTGCTAAACACAAGACAAAGCTTTGTTTTAGAAACGAAAATACCATTATAAAAACGTGTATGGAAGTTGTTAATGTCAGTGTAGTTGCATCCATTTTTGAACGAATAATGCCTTTCTCTCTTTAAAGGTTTTGGACTGGCTTTGAACTTCCAACCATCACTGATTATGCTGGGGTCTTATTTTGACAAACGCAGACCACTTGCCAATGGACTGGCGGCAGCTGGAAGTCCTGTATTTCTGGCAGTTCTTTCTCCATTAGGACAAATGCTGCTCAACCAATATGGATGGAGAGGAGGCTTTCTCATTACTGGCGGTCTTCTGCTCAACTGTTGCACCTGTGCAGCTGTAATGAGACCCCTGAAACGTAAAGAAAGGAAAGCGATAGCCTGTTCCCAAGAGCTCAAGGAAATGCTGCCTCCTGAGGCTGGACAAGAGAATATCATTTGTGAAAACAATATTGATAAAAAGCCCACTAAAAAGAAGCTTTTGGACTTCAGTGTACTTTGTAACAGAGGGCTTATTATTTATATCATTGCAAAATTTATAGTTGTCCTTGGCCTATTTGTTCCAACTATTCTCTTAGTCAACTACGCTAAGGACCAAGGAGTGCCTGCGCATGATGCTGCCTTTTTGTTGTCTATTATAGGATTTGTTGACATCTTTGCTCGTCCCACATGTGGCATATTGGCTGGTTTAAATTGGATTCGACCCAAGATGTCTTATTTCTTCAGCCTGGCCTTGATCTTCAATGGCCTAACAGATGTTTGTTCAGCTACAAGCACAGACTACAAGGGACTAGTTATCTTTTGCGTGTTCTTTGGGCTGTCTTATGGCATGGTGGGTGCACTACAATTTGAAGTTCTGATGGGTATTGTGGGAACAAGCAGTTTTTCCAGTGCACTTGGCCTAGTGCTTCTCTTTGAGGCATTGGCTGTGCTGATCGGACCACCCTCTGCTGGTGAGTTATCATGAAGACATGCATTAAACTAAATCATCGCCTCTGGAATGGGAGTTTTTATGATCCATTTGTAAATTTAATAAATATTTTACATGTATTTTTCTCCACAGGTTATTTGGTGGACAAGTACAAGAACTATGAACTGATTTTTTACATGGCTGGAGGAGAGCTGATCACCGCTGGAATATTTCTTGCCCTTGCATCATTCTGTTTTATTAACCAAAAGAAACACAAAGACTCACAGCAGAAACATCATGCTGATGTGGTAATCAATCCTAAAAGATAAACAGTGGAGAGAGCTGAAGAGAGGGACATTCATGTTCAATTAATTTTGTTTAGTTATGTGTGTTATTAAAATGAGTGTTTTGTATTGTGTGTGAGTGTGTTCAGGTTTTCCTAATTACTAACTCTTATGTATAAATTACACAAAATAATTCAACAATCAGAAAACCCATTTTGTGGGTCAATGAGAAATCAGGAAGATAATAAAAAGGAGAAATCTTGTGCCACATTCTTAGAAATGCTATTTTATATTCATGTTGGTTTTATGTGCTATACATTGATATACATTTTATAAATTACAGTTGAATTTACATAGAATCAGTGTTGTTATTGTTAACTAATAGTTAACTATTGTTTTCTGAAGATGAACAAAAGTCTAATGGGTTCTGAACAACGTGCCATACATTCATGTAATACATTTTATAAATCATAATTTAATCTACAAAGAATCAGTGTTGTGATTGTTAACTAAAACTATTAAAAACCGTTTTCTTAATTGAAATACAACTGAAATAAAGTATAGGCTTAATATAAAGTAAAAAAACATAAACTTAAAAAAGTTAAAACGAAAATTAGAAATGTTGCCTTGGCCACTAACTGAAATAAATAGGTTAAAGTTGAAATCCTATTTACAACATGGCACTAAAACTTAAATAAAAAAAGCACATGACTAAAACTTAAACTAAAATGAAAACTGAAAATCTAAAAATAAAAGTTAGTTCAAGATATTAATAAATATTTTACTGGCGTAAACATAATACAAAGATAACTGCATAGAATGATACGAAGATTACATGACATCGCATTGGATAACTGCCTCTGTCGTAAAAATCATTTTGAATTTTGATTGGCCAACCCAGCATTCAATCATCAACAGTAAAGTCTCTTGACGTCACTCACAGGAAGCGGCAGAATAGTGCATTCAGCGGTACTAATTTGAGTCGACGAGGTTGCGTCATATTTAACTTTAAAATAGCCATTTTGTAGAAGTTTATAGAACATATTAAAGCTATTCAATTCTAGAGGGTACATTTCATATTACGACCAGAAATAGTCTTTTTCCTTTGAGGGTTTTCATCGTCACAGAGTGATTCCACGATGCCGAGAGGAGGTGAGTGTCGTGCGCCTGCCTGATCGCTGTTTTACCGTTTCCAACACACCGCCAGAGCCAGTATAAAAAAAAAGAAGAAAACTTATGAAAGGGAAATATGAAATTGACGGTGAATATAAGGCCTCTGAGGATACCGTTAGTGGCTACAGCTTCTCTATAATGGGCAAATCACGGTGGGGAAAGAAGCATGGACGCTAGTATAAACTCAGGCCATATTGGACCAGTGCAGTAACATGTGATTGTCCGATAAGTCGACAGTTTCACTGACGACTCTTGTTCATGCTTCGCCTAATTATGGCATTAAATGTTTGCATATAGTATCATCGCCTCTTACTGTTTTTAATTTGTTTATTTTCTTATTTTACCTTGTCCACCACCTTAGGCAGAAAGAGCCATAAGGGCCGTGGGAAGCAGTTCAGCAACCCTGAGGAGATTGATCGGCAGATGAAAGCTCAGAGGGAACTGGTGAGTGTATAAGTTCTTCTTCTGCCACTTTCCTTTAGTTGCCACACTTCTGAAGTTCACGTTTACTCTGCTGAACTGCTTCCAGTTTGTAAAATGGAAAATGTGATTTATGTTGTGTGTAGGAGGCGAAAGAAGGGGCTGAACGTGAAAGTTCAGAATCTGAAGAGGAGAGCAGCAGTGACGATGAAGTATGATGTTTTAATTAAATTCACTTAAAGGGATAGTTCTTTAAACAATTAGAATCCTGTCATTTACTCACCCTAGTTCCAAACCCATTTAAGATACAAGTGCATTGTAAACGTAATCCATTCCATATGAAACGAGTTGTTTAGTCCAAGTTTCCTGAAGATCCTCGTTTGCTTTATAAGATAAGCTGATTTCATTTAGGTTTTTATTCACATATAAACATTGACCAAAGCACATGCATGGAGCACATCACATATAGTAAACACAAGCTCAAACATGTTGGCCTGAAGCACAAGAACCAATGAGGTTTGTTCTCACATGTCACAGTCACGCAAAGACGTTTAAGCTTCAGTGAACCATATTTTATGTAGTTTTGTCAAAAATATTGATATTTCGATATGTATTGATTAGGGGTGTAACAGTATTCAAACCAAAACGAAAAACGCGATGCACAACCCACGGTATGTACAGCGGTATTCTCATGCTGTACCCCGCCCCCTGATGCCAAGCCCTAGCCCATTGTTGAGGTTGACCTCACTTTACCTTATATCACAAAACAAATTTTTCTTCCCTAACATTTGATTAAATAGTAATTAGGTGTGTAATTAATTTTTGTGTCTTTTGTGTACAAGACGAATACAGCGTTGTAGCCTAACCACCAATAATCGCAGTAAGCTCCGCGGTTTGTTATTTCGATTGGAAACGGTGTCATTTTTCAAATTATGTTCATTTTATCACGAAATTCAAACAACAAATGCCATTTTGATGCTCTTTAATGTGGCGTAACAGAACATTATATAGGCGCCTCAGTTTAAGCAGCGAGTGAACGTGATCATCTCTTTCTAATAAACATGAATGAACATCTGAAGGTATGTTGAAATATACAGTACAACTTACTGAAATGTATTATATCTAGTGTAATCGCTAAGCGTTTCAACGGAGGAAAGCGTGACATCAAAACCGTTGTACGTACTAAACCGTCAGTTTTGTGTACCGTCACAAACCCTAGTATCGATACTGAAATACCTCAAATGGTACCAATTAGGGCTGCAGGATTAATAGAATTTTAATCACGATCACGATTTTGGCTTCCCACGATCAAATTTGCGTGATCGAGCGATATTTAAAATGCGTCATTCCATTCACAGAATGCTCCGTATCAAAGTTTTTTTTTTGTGTGTCTGCGCGCGAGCAACAGTGCACGAAAGAGACCGAGTGTCCAAGAGCGCGCTCGAAAGTGCGCGTGAGATACCGAGTGTGTCTGCACGTGAGAGACGAGTGTGTCTGCGCGCGAGAGATACCGATTGTGTCTGCGCGCGAGAGATACCGATTGTGTCTGCGCGCGAGAGATACCGATTGTGTCTGCGCGCAGGGTCCGAAATTAACTTTTTGGCTCACCTGCCACGGGGACTGGTAGATGAAAAAATCCACCAGCCAAGCATATTTTTTACCGGCCAAAAACAGCCTTTTTGTGTCACATATACATTAATTTATATATAGGCTATATTTAAACATTTTTGTCATATTTCTGGTCTATTATTTTCCATTTTTACTTTTATTTACACACATATTACACAAGTTACACACATTAAAATAATATTTTTGTGGTGGTGCCTATATGAAAATAGTTCTGTACAAATGAAATGTATTATTGTATATTTAATAAAATATATGCTATAATCATATATTATAATTATTTCAAAAAAATATTTAGTTTTACTCTGCCTATTTTTTTTACTCCATTCACTCTGACTGATCCGATCAGTAACTGAAGGACTGGAAATATCAGTTGTTTAAACCATTCATTAAAATGAACCGGTTCAAAGGAGTCATTAGTTCGCGAATTGGACGTGTCATTATCGGATGTGTACGCGTTGTGTGGTTATCCTGGCGGTTGGGACATCCCACAAGATTTGTGTCAACACAGAAAACATTTAATCACTGGATAGGTTTTTTCGTTTATTTAAAGTGTGGTTTATGTCAGCTGAATGTGCGGAACGCTTTTCAGAGAAGAGAAGGTATTTTAGCACAATTCCCACCCAGCGGTAATTCAGGAAAAAACATATCCGAATGCTCCACATGAAACTATGGTCTTCCGACCTTTTACCATCGTGTCGATTTATTTTGATTAATATGTGACAAGGAGAGAGAGAGCAAGACAGCGCTTAGGAGACGGTGAAGCCTTGTTACTTTCACCTGGCTCCGAAGAGAAAGAGTGCGTGCGCGCGACCGGGCTCTCTCTCTCTCTGCTCGTGCTTTAGTTGCGCCCTGTCAGACGCACTACTGTCGTCTATTACTCACAGATCAAATAAGACTATGGCGAGACAAAAAATCGCTTTGGAGCAGGAGCATCGATAAGAGGACTCGTTAACTCGTTACATTACTATTTTGGTATGAACATTCACCCGCCAGTGGGGCGGATAGCCTTTTGAGATTTACTCGCCAAGCGGAAAATCTACCCGCATTTGGCGCTTGGCGGGTGTTAATGTCGGACCCTGTCTGCGCGCGAGAGAGACCGATTGTGTCTGCGCGCGAGAGAGACCGATTGTGTCTGCGCGCGAGAGAGACCGATTGTGTCTGCGCGCGAGAGAGACCGATTGTGTCTGCGCGCCTGAGACCGAGTGTGAGCATTAGTAAATTGGTACATACTACATAGTAATATGTATTTACTATATAAGAGGCATGAAAGTTCGATTAATGTACGCCAATAATCAGTACTACAAACGTCTTGTTTTGATCTATTGTTTAACAAATAGAAATAATTCGAGCACATGAACTTTCATATGGAGGATTAAATAGATTAAATTTATGCGGTAAGATTTCACAACTAATCACTGACTGTACTACCACAACATTTTACATTTCTTAAGCGTCAAATCTCAATTTCATCCATTAATCGAACTTCCATAGTGCATAGTTCTGCCTTGACATGTTCTCATTGGGTTACATTCTGTTATGGAATATTTGTTTTTTAATATTTGTTTTATTCACATCCATTATGCAGGTACAATGCAAGTTTATATTTTGCTTCCTAAAATATATTTACACAATGTAAAATAGTGCCCTGTTGAAGTTTTGCTACATTTTCTTTTTATTTCTTTTTATTTATTCTTTAAGGAGATGCACTGAATTTTGGTGAATAAGAGGACCTATTTTATTTTGATGCACATAGTTGTAAGGGTTTCTAATGATATACTGTTAGCGACCGATGCTGGTGACTCTATGATCTTATTACTTTTAGACTTAACCTCGGCCTTTGATACAGTTGATCATAAAACTCTATTATCCCGACTAGAATACTCTGTGGGCATCCAGGGAACTGTCCTCAGTTGGTTTAGATCTTATCTAACAAATAGAAGTTGCTCTGTCAAACTGGGTAATTTTTCTTCCTCACCAGCTCAACTCTCCTGTGGAGTGCCGCAGGGGTCTATTCTCGCACCCATTCTTTTTTTCCATGTATTTACT